TGTTGGTTGTTGACTATCCTTAAGTTATCTCATATATGTCTAGGGACCTGTTCAACCTGCTGATCCTGTTGGTTGTTGACTATCCTTAAGTTATCTCATATATGTCTAGGGACCTGTTCAACCTGCTGATCTTTTGGTTGTTGACTATCTTTAAGTTATCTCATATATGTCTAGGGACCTGTTCAACCTGCTGATCTGTTGGTTGTTGACTATCCTTAAGTTATCTCATATATGTCTAGGGACCTGTTCAACCTGCTGATCTTTTGGTTGTTGACTATCCTTAAGTTATCTCATATATGTCTAGGGACCTGTTCAACCTGCTGATCTTTTGGTTGTTGACTATCTTTAAGTTATCTCATATATGTATAGGGACTTGCTCAACCTGCTGATCCTGTTGGTTGTTGACTATCCTTAAGTTATCTCATATATGTCTAGGGACCTGCTCAACCTGCTGATCTTTTGGTTGTTGACTATCCTTAAGTTATCTCATATATGTATAGGGACATGCTCAAGCCGCTGATCTGATGGTTGTTGACTATCCATAAGTTATCCAATATGTAAAAGGACCAATATCTTCATTCATGCTACAATTACATTTTTTCTCTTTCTGTTTCATAAAGGTTATTTTCCTACATTTAAATAACAAAATAAACATGATATTTTTTAATCAGTTGGTGTATTAGTGGGAATGCTTTCAGCTACGTTATGTACATTCTACATTGATTCAACTATGTTATGTACATTCTACACTGATTCAACTGTTATGTACATTCTACACTGATTCAACTAGGTTATGTACATTCTACACTGATTCAACTATGTTATGTACATTCTACATTGATTCAACTATGTTATGTACATTCTACATTGATTCAACTAGGTTATGTACATTCTACACTGATTCAACTAGATTATGTACATTCTACATTGATTCAACTATGTCATGTACATTCTACACTGATTCAACTAGGTTATGTACTTTCTACACTGATTCAACTATGTTATGTACATTCTACACTGATTCAACTATGTTATGTACATTCTACACTGATTAACAATCTGAACAAGAATTGAAATGAAACTCATTTGATGATCAAGAAATGAACATGTATCATTCAAATGAGATTTACTTCCTTGCATATATGGCGGCCATATTGAGCTTGTAAACTTTACGTTAGAGGATAAAACTAAATTTGATTGGTTAGCGCGCTAGAGAGCAACTGTGCTGGGAACATTACATAATTCGATGCTGAATCTTTAGATTCAAATTTATGAAAATTATTTAATTAATATATAATTAAATAGATAAAGGAAGAAATCGAACACTAACAATACTTTATTGGTTAATGAGACAAGCATCATAGAGCAACTTTAAATTAAAAGTTTTGAATAAATTGAAAGCCTCAAACCAAGCTGGCAGCAATGTGTAGTTCTTACCTTTATAATGACTGAGCTTATAATGTCTGCAATTTTCTCAGCACTTTCCTGCATCTGACTGCTGTTTGATGGTTGGGTGTAAGCCAGTACTACAATAGAACCTTCTGTGGCTAGACTGTCTCTTAAAACCTGGAAATATCATTTTGTATATCTTGGTCATTATTAACTGATATTTCATAAAACAGTTCAAATCTACAACCTTCATCACAGTTTTGATCCTATTTTAAATAGCTCATTGTTTATATTTATTTATTATACAATGCTCACTATAAAAGTCATTCACAGTTATTATAATTTTAACTTTTATTCTAAGTGTAAAAAAAATGCATGCATAAATGTTGAGATTTCAGTTTGATTCATCAAGATGATATTAGTTTATTCAAACTCCTACAAAAACATATACAGTCTTATATTTGTAAAGTAATTAGTTTATTTTAAATAAATTTTTTTGCAAAGTAAGTGAAAGGCTTTTGGCACAGACCATCCAAACGGGCTCTGTCTCAAGAGGTTTAAATATTGTAACACAAAAAATGTTGTGACATAACGATCAAGCTCGTGCTAGAGCCTATAGTAAAGCTTACATCACTGGCAGAGATTTCAAACATGTTGAAATCATATGTCTCTGCCCCTTGTGCTACATGGCTGCTGTCCTTTGATGTTATTTGGAGAGACTCTAAATAGCTGAGGCATTTAATTTTGTTATCCTGGCTGTTTTTGAAAAGATTAATCATGCTTCCATCAACACCATCACATCTCAAGATCAAAACTTTTCTTTTCAGTGGGGAATGATAATCATCTGTGATGTGCCCTGTAAGAAAAGAAAAAAGTACAAGGTATTTTAAAAATAACATACAACAGGAAAAATGCACTTGCACTTTTCAGACATTTTAGCAACATTTAAACAATTAAGAAAGATGAAGAACTGATCTGGAGAACTAGTTATCTGGTGAACTGGTGAGAAGTTAAACTGGTGACTTTCTATATTATTTCCTTAAAATATGTACTTTCATGTTAAATATAAGGATGTATCCAGGGCTCTTTTTGTTGTAGAACGCATCAGAACGGCATACCACAACCTATTTGTAGAACGCATCAGAACGGCATACCACAACCTATTTGTAGAATGCATCAGAACGGCATACCACAACCTATTTGTAGAACGCATCAGAACGGCATACCACAACCTATTTTCCATGGATTAAGCATGACATCATTATGGATGGCCCTTACAAGAATAACAAGATGTGATTACAGCACTGTATGTATCTTGATGATGTCACAAGGACTGTGATTTTTTCTTGAGGACTATAAGCTGGTTCCCTAGACAGCAAATCACCTCTCTCCATGCACATGGATAGCCCAAGGGAACACTATATATGGATGATACAGCTTAGCACCAGTTGCGCCGCGGAAGTTGTCAGGAGTTTTCATTGTATTAATGTATCCACCTACAGGACTCTTTCTCTGGGTTTTGATTCAGACTTCCCTACTCTTACATAAGTTGCCCTCCAAAGTTAACGGGTTCCATCCAACCGGGTGCTGTGTTGTGTTTGCTTGTCTTGGTCTTTGGTGGGGATTTTATGTCATATATAAATATGTAGGCTACATTATTGATAAACATGTACATCACATACAAACATATACCTTGATGAGAGCCGTAAGCCTTCCCTTCTGATAATATTGGGTTACCTGCCCATTGTAAGTTTCCTTGAAGCAGTCGTGTTTGTGCTAGGATTTGGGAAAAACAAATAAATTTACTAATTTTAGGTAGGACATTAATATATAATGTTAGGACATTAATATATTTTGTTTGGACCTTAATATATTTTGGTAGGACATTGATATATTTTGTTAGGACATTAATATATTTTGTTTGGACATTAATATATTTTGTTAGGAGATTAATACATTTTGGTAGGGCATTAATATATTTTGGTAGGACATTAATATAATTCTGTAACATTTTCAACCAATGAAAAAATCTGAGAGTTACATGAAATGTAAGTCTAAGAATATTTTAGAGACTTTTTTTGGTTCCAAAGCACATAAATTAATAAAATACCAAACTTCCTGTTTCAAACAATCCTTTTATCTAACAAATATATCTTCCAAAATTTGGTTAAAACCACTAGTTCTAATTTCAAGCTAATATTATTTACTGATTGAGTCTGGTATACTAGACACATTGCATGCCATTGTAGACAAATTCTGTAAATTCTTGCAGCTGATGAAAAGACTGTGCAAGCCTCTCTCTGTCACTTTTCTGCATGCATTAACTTCAATCTAAAATGTAATCAAAATTTAAAACTGTCCTCATATTTTTAAAGTACATTTTTAAAATTTCACATTTATAAATATTTACTGAATTTCATTTCAAGTTTATAAAGAGTTGTGCTAAATGTAAATAGTGATTTAACCAAAAAAATGCTGAATGTTTTATTTGTTATCAATAATATATCCACCAGCTTCGTACCATTTGGATATCAGGAAATAAACGAGCTATCCACTTCAGACCTTGATCAGTTATGTGTATGCAACCTAGAAATGTAAAGAAATTTTTTTATTACAGTTTTTACTTAAAATACATTTTTTATCATTTATTCCTTCTGTAAAATTGGATGTTAACTCTTTTTTATTGAATGTTTTACTTAAATATTTATTTCTCTTACTTAAATTCTATTAAACAAAAAGGATGTTATAAGTATTTAAAAAATGGAAGACAAACAAAAGACATTCTCAAACTTTCCAAATGTCTTTATTTATATGATGATGATTTGAACTCTCCAAAGATCATTAGGTGTTAGGTCCTTTGTATGGCTGGAGGCGATGGCATAGGAAGGGTGGGGCATAGGGTGTGGTCGGCACTGGGGTTGGTTGGAGCATTTTTTGTTCAATATTTTGAGAGAAAGTAATTTTGAAAAACAGCAGATTTTTTTTTGTGGTATGGGGACAGCAAAAATCTTTGCCTGCCCCATGTGACAATAACCCTAGCTACTCCACTGGCTGAAGGTGACTATGAAGCCTGCGACTAGACTTGCAAACATTTAAATAACAGTTGGGGCAATCAAAATCATTTTGAGCTATCATATTGCAATTTTAGGGCTTGGCTATCCCTGCTCCAGAATGATTTTTATGAATCAAGACCAACCTTGCATACAAATAACTAATTCTTATGCCACATATATATTATAATTATAAACAAATGAGGGAAAAGGATGGATCTTTAATTATGCATAGTCATTTAGTAAAATTTAAGTCAATTGGATCACAATTATAATTTTAAATTAAGATAAAAATACACTTGCCAACAAGATTGAGCTTTTTCAAGTTTTTAAAAGAATTGACAGCAGATGTGCCGCCACCATAGATGAGAGGAAACAGATAATCTGTCACCTGATCAATCCCATTGAAGTTCAGATTAACTAGGTCAGCACTTGAATTCTGGCTAACAATAACTTGCTGTGGGAATAAAATACATGGATGAGGCATTCATAAAAACAATACAAAGTTTTGTTTTTTTAATAATATATGTTACATTTCAAAATATGAAAAACTGGATCAATATTAATGTAGTTAATTTTATTAAAATTTAATTAGGGGCATTCAAAAAGAAAGTTATGTTTGAGTATACACTTTCTTAAATTTGAAAAAAGCATACAACTTTATCCCTTTTTATTTTCAATGCTATCATTTAATATTTATTGTAATATTAACAGAAAATATACCAATATATATATTTACCTTTACAAGATGAAGAGGTAAATATTCAGGTGGTGTCAACCTAACTTTTTCATATTCCTTTTCAAAAAGCTCTAATCTTGATAATGTCACTAAAGTAAAGAGAAATAATACAAAACAGAATTTTCCAGGCAGTAATTCATAAATACTCATAAGATTGAGAATTATTCCTTCGATATACTACTCTACCATACACTAAACTAACACCTTTGAAATAAAAATTTGCTTTGCATCAAGCTAACTTATAAATTAATATTATTTATAGAACAGTAGAATTAGTCAAGCTATTTTAAAAACAAATGTCTTGAAAATAAGCATGTTTACTCATCATTATCATCATCATTCAGATCCAGTAGCATTTTGGGCATATGCCCAACTGCCCAAGGTCATGGTGAACAGTGTACATACTATCTGTATCTGGTCTATATTTATTTATAGTCTGTTGGTATAGTCTGGTATTTTTGATAGATAATAAGATGTAATTCCTGAAGTGCTGGGCACTTGAAGAGGTGATGTCTTTCTGTTTCATTTTGGGTGTCTGCAGAGGGGGCACATTCATGTTTATCTGGTTTTATGTGGTCAAGGGTGACTTAAGTTGTATGTGTCCTGTAAATAGGCTAAAAATTATGACTGGTTTATTTCTTTGGGAAAAATCAATCAGATCTTTGGAACATGAGCTGGGCATGTGTGAAAGCAGACATCTTTGTTTTCAGACCATAGTCAATCTGCTCTGATAATCTGCTTTGTAGTGTTGAGTGATGTAGGTTTGTTTGGCTGTACATTGGATGCTTTTTGTTTTTTTAGTTTGTCTGCTCTTTCATTTCTTGGTATATCATAGTATCCGGGTGTGAACTGTAAGGCTAGCTTGACTGCATGGATTTCAAGGAAGTTGTTTATTTTCAGAAGAAGTGACTTTACTGTTGTTCTGCCTTAAGTATAAATTTGCAATTAAAGAGGATGACAACATTTCTTGCTGAGATAGACTGTAAAGATTGCACACCAAAAGGTGGTGCGCTGCTTCAATAGCAGTCCCTTATGCTTCATAATTACTTTTTATTATCCCACACAGGGATTGATCTGTCTGGGTACTCTATTTGTACACCATAGCCTGCATGTAGGGCTACTTTGACAGCATGCTAACTCAGTAGGATAAATAACAAGAAAAACTTGACATGTTGAGCCTAACATTAAATTTTTAATAAGTAGGCCTAAAGATTTACCTGGATTGTAATCTGCCATGCGGTCAACCCTTCTCAACAATCGTTTACGATTCAACAAGTCCTGAGAATCAATCAGTGGCTTCACTGTAGGGTTGGCCACTGGTTTTGCTAGTGGTTCATCATCTGTATTTTGAGACATTACTAAGTTCAGTAGTGGTGGTGGAGGTGGTCCAATCTGTTGATAGGGCTGTTCTTTCCTTTCACCCTGGCCATGGCTAGGATCTGGGTTAACTGATTTAGAAGACTGTATTTGCTGGACAGCTGTTGAATCTTTTGGATTACTGGTCTTCGAAGTTAATCTTTTTACACTTTTTCTATTATGTGCATGTTGTTTTTGTTTCAAGGGATCTTTGCCATCACTAGTGATTACTGTGATTGATGTTTTAGCAGGACTTTTTAATTCTACTTCATTTGGATTGGCTTGAGGGTTCTTAAATAATGCATTATTGACAGAATCTTTTTGTGAGATGGCCACAGTGTGAAGCTGAGAATCTACCGTTAACTGATTGGTGGGAGATGAATCAGAAGATCTCTCTTGATTTTGTGCTGATGAAGCTTGCGGGGATCGTTCACTTGACATAGCTGAACTGGGCACTGAAGCTATATCTTGACTTGTAGCTGACTCTTTCCTTCTATGTTTATACATGTTTCTGATTTCATTACAATCTGAAAGTTATTTTATAGAACTTAAGAACAGCTATCAGTCTTATCTTTCAATATTTTTATATTAGTAACTATAACACTGTTAACAGGAACTATTGCTACAATTATAAATAGCTGATATAGTTGATGTAGTACAAGAAACTTTTAAGAAAAACTAATTAATAATAATAAGAATATGCTAACTGAACTGTAAACTAAACAACTGAATCAGGATTAACTGATTACTAATACTAATAGGCCTACTAATGATAGTGTTCACTTGGTAGGTCTACTTATATATTTAGTAAGTAAGTTATTATTACTATTTAAAAACAATGATTATGATCTTACTATTAGTTTTGCCAATTAACTACACTGCTACCAATCACCAATATTGATTAAAATTAAATTCAAAATGATTTGTCATATGCAATTTTAAATAATAAATTATAAAGTAATATTATTACTTTATAATTTAAATAAAATAAAAATAATTTTAAATAGTAGGCTTTAAAGTAAAAATTTTCAATCAATATTTACACATGATGCCATGGATTGCTAATGATCAATTTTAATAATTACTACTCATATTACTAGTAGTATTATGCCTGATTAAAATTACTTATAACTTATGACTAATAAGTAATTTTAATCAGGCATAATACTACTAGTAATATGAGTAGTAATTATTAAAATTGATCATTAGCAATCCATGGCATCATGGCATCATGGCATCATGTGTAAATATTGATTGAAAATTTTTACTTTAAAACCTACTATTTAAAATTATTTTTAATTATTATTAAAACTATTTCAATACATACATTATTCATTATATTCCTTCACCATAAATGTCAGGTAGGGGTAGGTAGGCCCTAGTCCTAGATTATCCTAGATATTTGATTAATTAATAAATTTGTGTATGAGTATGTAAAAAATAAATTAAAAATAAGAATGACTGGGATGAATCACTGAGAATGAAATCATTTAATTACTAATGAATAAAAAAAAAATACTAACACTAACAACATTTTACAATAAATTAGTATAAAAGACTATCTGACTACTCAGTCACTATCTTAGTCTCAGTATAAATCTGAAAGTTTCAGTTCAGTGAAATTACTAGACAAATAAATATTTTAACTAAAGTCCTAAAGAAAGACTAGACTATACTATATTATTATATAGCCTATATTATATATTTATATATAATATTATATACTATACTAAGCATCTTAAATTATAAATTTATATATTACAAATTGTCTGCTAACTAAATGAATAATGATAATGCAAATAAATCAGTAAACGAAATAAATAACTATTCGGTACATAATATAGGGTAGTAGACGCTGGAAAGTTATCCTACTTAGTTTGTTTGTTTTGTTTTTTTTGTTTTTTTTATGACAATAATTGTTACCGGTACTTAAAAGTTTTGTGTTTTTTTTAATCCGAATAAATTTCATGAGTTCGTAGCTAAGCGGAGCAGAGGAATGTTTGCCAAAAATAAGAATTTATACACATATTTACGACATTAACAAAATTACTATATGCCAATGGTTGGCGGGAGATATTGCTTTATTGGTCAAAGGTCTATTCGTAAAATGTGCGTGGAAAAAATAATGAATGGAATCAGGAATATATACTCATAATATCAAGAATTATGACGCTTCTCAATCCTCACCTATCCACACCCTAAAAAAAAGTTCTACAATCCCGTGGCCCATTTATTGTATTTATTGATGGAAGTCGAAAGTCTACGCATAAATTCATAAATCCAGAAGAGTATATAGTATGCCTATATGATATGGGCTGGGTCTGCCCTCGCCCCCCACCGCATAAACCTCCCTGGCTCCCTCCGTACCCACCCACTCCCTCTCAACATCACAACTCCCCATTGATTCTGATTCTTATAGCGTACGTTGCTGCATCCATGTACTGTAGGGCAGTGGTTCCCAAATGGCGGTCCGTGGACCTTCACCGGTCCGCATGCCTAACGCTGCAGGTCCCCTTAACTTAATATTTATTGTCAAATAGAAATAAAAGTATAAAAATAAATCATGGACCGGTCACTGGTAAAATTTCGAAATTAAATTTCTCTAGTCTAGGATTTAAATTGAGGATATTTGGCTGCTGTCCTATCCATTGTTAAAACATCCTTCTCATCTAATATTAAGTTGTCAAAACTAGAACAGTCCATTTCGAAATTGTAAATAACTTGCAGGATTGCAGAAAGGGTCTCCACTCTCATCTTGTTTCTTTCGCCCGTCCATTGAATGTTCATGAGAGAAAAGATTCTTTCAATATTACCATTATGGGCAGGGATCGCAAACACATATTGGCATATCTTCAAAAATTCAGAGTGCTGTTCTGGCCTAGAATGGGTTTTGAAAAAACGAACCCACTTTTCGTGACTTTGAGGTGTTTTCAGAGTGGTGGAGGGGGAACAGTGCAGCCATCACGCGAGCCCACATCACTACTGGCACTGGCTACAAAGCGAGCCCACATCACTACTGGCACTGGCTACACAGCTAGCCCACATCACTACTGTCGCTGGCTACACAGCTAGCACACATCAATACTGGCACTGGCTACACAGCTAGCCCACATCACTACTGGCACTGGCTACACAGCTAGCCCACATCACTACTGGCACTGGCTACACAGCTAGCCCACATCACTACTGGCACTGGCTACACAGCTAGCCCACATCACTACTGGCACTGGCTACACAGCGAGCCCACATCACTACTGGCACTGGCTACACAGCTAGCCCACATCACTACTGGCACTGGCTACACAGCTAGCCCACATCACTACTGGCACTGGCTACACAGCTAGCCCACATCACTATTGGCACTGGCTACACAGCGAGCCCACATCACTACTGTCGCTGGCTACACAGCTAGCCCACATCACTACTGGCACTGGCTACACAGCTAGCCCACATCACTACTGGCACTGGCTACACAGCTAGCCCACATCACTACTGGCACTGGCTACACAGCTAGCCCACATCACTACTGGCACTGGCTACACAGCGAGCCCACATCACTACTGGCACTGGCTACACAGCGAGCCCACATCACTACTGGCACTGGCTACACAGCTAGCCCACATCACTACTGGCACTGGACACACAGCTAGCCCACATCCCTACTGGCACTGGATACACAGCTAGCCCACATCACTACTGGCACTGGCTACACAGCTAGCCCACATCACTACTGGCACTGGCTATACAGCTAGCCCACATCACTACTGGCTCTGGCTACACAGCTAGCCAAAATATTACTTGAAGTTATATCATAAATTAGGACGTTTGAGTGATTTGAAAACTCTTTACCTTGGGAGTGTAAGAGGTGCCCTGGACTACAGCCTGCCGGTCCAGGCCTTCGCGAGTCGTACGGCTCTAGAGGGACTGGACCGAATGCAGAATCTAGCTCTCAGATTCATATGCGGGCCGTTACGTACCACACCCACGGCCGCCGTGGAAATCATTTCAGACATAGAACCACTACACATCAGGAGGGACAAAGCTATCCTGACGACCGTAGAGCGTTTCCGTCGAATGGAACGATCGGAACCCTGCTTCCAAATACAAGACCGCTGGGTAAAGAGGACAAGACTTAAAAGACCCTCCTTTATGGACGCGGTCGACTNACAAAGCTATCCTGACGACCGTAGAGCGTTTCCGTCGAATGGAACGATCGGAACCCTGCTTCCAAATACAAGACCGCTGGGTAAAGAGGACAAGACTTAAAAGACCCTCCTTTATGGACGCGGTCGACTTATTGGAGAAAAAGCACCCTTTACCCGGAAACAGGGAAACATTACGCTTGATCCAGGAGAGATCACCACAGGATAGTGGCGACCCACCTGATGTACGTCTGACCCTGTCACACACGGCGGTTAATAAGTCGAGCCCCCAAAATGAGCAAAAGGGGGCCGCACTAGAGACGATTAAGGCTTATAGTGACGAAATGATATCAGTCTTCACAGATGGCTCTTATATCCCTGGCGAAAAGCGGGCTGGCTACGGCGCGATCATACAGTACCCGAAGGGGGTACCTCCAACAGAGGAGATCTCAGGCCCAAGCGGCAAGAACAGTTCTGCAGCTGAAGCAGAAGTTGGAGCTATTCTTATGGGTCTGAGACAAGCGTGCCGTCGGCTAGCAAAACGCAAAGTATTTCCATCCGTCGTAGTGTTCACCGATTCACAATGTGCTCTTGAAATTGTGAAGAGGTGCTCTTGGGACACTAAGACGGTACAGGCAATATTGGAACTCGTGCGAGACATACGATCTAACGGAGGGAACGCGACCCTTCAATGGATCCCAGGACACGCTGAGATCCCCCCACAAGTCAGAGCTGACTGGCTTGCAAAACAAGGTTCTTCCCAACCCCAACCTGACAGGCCAATGACCCAATTGGGGGTCAAAGCCTGGTTAAAGGACCTCTTTCAGAGGAATGGATGAAAGAATGGGAACAGGGTACCACCGCACGAAAGCTTTACCGGAACATGCCTAAAATTAACCGAAAGGGCGATCAATGGTGGAGCCTTAAGCGACACCAGCAGAGCCTCATAACACAAATGAGGACAGAGCACTGCCCCACGAGGAGCTATCTAAATAGGTTGAACCCACTACGGGACCCGAGCTGCCACCATTGTGGACAGGCACCGGAAACAGTAGAGCACCTTCTAGCCGGGTGCCCGACATTAGCGACTGGCGTGACTGGGGTTCTCCCAGCCAACCACGTCGAGAGCCTGTTATACGGGTCTGCCCAGCAGATGAGGCAGGCCTGTTCCATACTTGCCGGTGCCATTAAAGAGCAATAGCTCGGTCCCATACAGTGAATGAAATATTTCAGTGATTTGAAAATGTGTTTGATTTTAGAAACGGGACATGTAGAGAGACTTTTTTCAGGACACCGGGTACGATCGTGAAAAAAACGGTACAATCCCGTTTACGGGACGTTTGGTCACCCTAAGGTACTGGGATATGTGCAACGGTTTGGGAAACGATGCGGCTATCCTATCAGCTCCCAGCGGGTGCCAGGGCAGCCTTGAAACTCTCGATTGATTTCGAGTCCACGGCGGCATTGCCCAGTTGGTTCTAAGCAATTATTGTTGAGGGAAGAATGACTGTTTATATTGGACTGTGTTACACAGAGGCACAGTGAAGCATTTAATATTGTTCCGGATGTAACTGCTCATGGAGTTGTCGGAGGTCAAGTCAGTGTTTATTGAGCGTTTGATTGATTCATTCTCTTGTAGTGACGAGCCTAGACTCTATATGACCAAGGTTAGCATATCACAGGCGAGCCTCGGCAGGTGGGCTTCACCGAAAATGAGCTGATTAACACAGGGTTCTGGGGGTGAAACTTGCCAATCCAGCCATCGGGCCACTCTTGGAGCCATGTCACCTAACGACCAGCCATTGGGCCACTCTTGGAGCCGTGTCACCTAACGACCAGCCATCGGGCCACTCTTGGAGCCGTGTCACCTAACGATCAGCCGTGTCACCTAACGACCAGCCATCGGGCCACTCTTGAGGCCGTTAAACCTAACGACTAGCCATTTGGGCCATTCTTGGAGCCAGGCATTGACTCTCAGTTGAGTCATGGGCCGGTCGGTTGCGACTGAGCTGCACCATCTCTTGTCAGGGGCTATGCTCTCTAATTTTACGCCATTTCATCGTGACAAGGACTCGGAGAATGACCCAGCCATCACGTCCTTAGATGCCGTCTACTGTTTCGAGAATGGCCTTGACCATTTTTGGCTCCATCGAGCGCTTTCCCACAGCTTCAATACCAAACTGAGTCGTTAAAGACTACAGTGGTCGGGAAGCTTTTTCTCCTTGCTAGTCGACGGTGCACTTGTTTCAGACAAATTCAGGGCAATCAATAATGCTTCAAGTTCTGCATCGAACACATCTCCCTCCCACAGTCTCACTATCTCTCTATCGACCTCCCTCCAACAGTCTCACTAACCCTCTATCGACTTCCCTCCAACAGTCTCACTATCTCTCTATCGACCTCCCTCCAAACAGTCTCACTAACCCTCTATCGACTTCCCTCCAACAGTCTCACTATCTCTCTATCGACCTCCCTCCCACAGTCTCACTATCTCTCTATCGACCTCCCTCCCACAGTCTCACTATCTCTCTATTGACCTCCCTCCCACAGTCTCACTAACCCTCTATTGACCTCCCTCCCACAGTCTCACTAACCCTCTATTGACCTCCCTCCCACAGTCTCACTAACCCTCTATTGACCTCCCTCCCACAGCCTCACTAACCCTCTATTGACCTCCCTCCCACAGTCTCACTAACCCTCTATCGACCTCCCTCCCACAGTCTCACTAACCCTATATTGACCTCCCTCCCACAGTCTCACTAACCCTCTATCGACCTCCCTCCCACAGTCTCACTAACCCTCTATTGACCTCCCTCCCACAGTCTCACTAACCCTCTATCGACCTCTCTCCAACTGTCCCACTATCACTCTATCTTCCCCAAAACACCCCGCCCCATCAGAGCTCTGAAAATTGACCCAATTTAAACGCTAACTAAATCGAATGTTTCATAAATAGTGTGGCACATAATTAGATCACGCCCGGCAGACATCCACATATGCTACCCAGACATATGAGAGGGGGAGATTTTAGTTAATTCAGAAATCTGTAGGTCCATACAGTTTTGTCCAATTAATTAATATATGCAAATTTATGTGGTATTGTTATAATATAATTTCAATCCTCAATGTATGGGAGGGAAACGATCGCCTCCCCTCTTTTTGTATTTCTCCCGATATACAAATTACGTTAGTCAGCATATCATCTTACATACGCCCTACCCCTGTTGTTTGAGTAGGCTTGTTTGGTAAAGTTTTAGCCTAAACTACAATATTTAAAAAAAAACAAAAAAAACAACCCTTTACCTCTGTGCATTGTCCCACTAGTGCCTCCATTAATCTAGTGATCTAGATTTGGCCTTAACACCAGTGATCTAGATTTGGCCTTAACACCAGTGATCTAGATTTGGCCTTAACACCAGTGATCTAGATTTGGCCTTAACACCAGTGATCTAGATTTGGCCTTAACACCAGTGATCTAGATTTGGCCTTAACACCAGTGATCTAGATTTGGCCTTAACACCAGTGATCTAGATTTGGCCTTAACACCAGTGATCTAGATTTGGCCTTAACACCAGTGATCTAGATTTGGCCTTAACACCAGTGATCTAGATTTGGCCTTAACACCAGTGATCTAGATTTGGCCTTAACACCAGTGATCTAGATTTGGCCTTAACACCAGTGATCTAGATTTGGCCTTAACACCAGTGATCTAGATTTGGCCATAACACCAGTGATCTAGATTTGGCCTTAACACCAGTTATCTAGATTTGGCCTTAACACCAGTGATCTAGATTTGGCCTTAACACCAGTGATCTAGATTTGGCCTTAACACCGACACTAGGTTCTAAACACTGACGCTGGGCCTTGACATTTATTTTCCCTGGGCGACATTAATTTAATGACCCATTTTTATCTGTCTTGTTAAACGCATTTTGACTGGCAGTGGTACATCTTTGATGTAAAGTTATCAATACAAATTCCTTTGTGGGTACGCTGCCTTTCGACAGTTCCACCAGATTAGTGATTGTGGGTAGTATTATCTGGACAGGCAGACAAATGGATAGGGGATATTCGCCATCAATTATCGTGTATTGCAGTCCCCAATAGTAATTCAAAGTAATAGCTTACATTAGTATTAATTAGTAAGGGACATATTTAAGCTATATTCAGAACGAGATAATTAAGATGTGTTGTATAAAATAATGAAAGAAGACAGTGAACTTTTCAGTTGAAAGCCTTCCTATGCGAACGCGATGAAATAACATTTTCTTGTTGTGTAAATTGTAATGATTTGTTCGCTGATGAAGGTTTTCAAAGAAAATGCTACTTTTCTAGTCATGTTTTGTTGTTCAACTCGAGGAGCTGCAACATTTCTTCTTCTGAATATTTCTTTTGGATGCAGCCTCCCCAATATTATCCAATGTAATTAAGTACTAGCTCACATCAACAAGTTACTGTACTTATACCGCGGTAAAAAGGAATCCTTATAAGCTGTTCAAAGTTATTCATGATTAAAATATTTTTTTGAGGATTGAATTGACAAGAGCTGGATGTAATTATACTCGACCAACACTTAATTTTATATGTAGAATATAGATTTTAAAAAATGACTCTTCCAAGAAAAAAGATGAACAATAAAACTTAACAAAACTGACTACATTAATTTTTTTAATGGAATTCAAATAACAGCAACAGATCATGCATTACATACAGTAATTGAAATTATCATATTTACAAGTCTATAAAATACCTCTCTTCCAACACATACATGAAATACATAGCAATATTTTTACCTTTTATTTGGGAGAGCATATGCATATAGTAAGTTCAGGTAGTAAGAAGAATCTGATTAAATTTTGATTGAATATATTCATGATGTCACCAACACTTTTATTTGGGTGATTTGGGTAATCTTCCAAGCATGTAAAACTCTTCATTGGGCGCCATGCTGGTAAGAAAAGCCATTCGATTAGAAAGAGAGAAAAAGGCTACAACTGATCCGATGTCCCAAGCATCTTCCTGATCAAGGCCCTGTTGACTCAATACTTCAAAGTCCTTGTCTGACAACGGCTGGCATGTAGCAATGAGCATTGCAAACTTTAAAATAGATCTTTGTCTTTCATCAATGTCAGCAGTCTCCCAATTAGCAGCAATCTTTTATTTGTACATAAAAAGAATCAAATCAGCTTACTCATGTTCAATCTATTTTTTTATTTTTTATTTTCAATAAGATAATTTTGAGTCTTAGCATACAAAAAACATTATATCAACATTAAGACAAGGAGCATTGAAAATGAAAACAAACAAAATGCATCAAGTGTTTGAAAAAATTAATTAACTTAAATTTAAGTAAAAGTGATGAAACTTCCTGTTTGTCCTACCTGATCAGCCAGAATTCTGTTCTTTGAATAAATCCTGAATAATGCACTATGAGCAATGATGCAGTATCTGCATTTATTGTAAGCACTGACTGCAACAATTATCATTTCTTTGTCTGCTTTTGATAAGTGACCTGGTTTTAAAATATAAAATGTAATAAGTTACTTTCTGTGGTTTGTAACAAGGTGTAGTAATTGAATTACTGTGGTTCGTAACAAGATTTAATAAAACTGAGGTTTGTAACAAGCAAGTGAAAGTATTAAATGCAAGCTTAAGTTAAAAAAATTGTCATGTAATCCATTTAAACAGAAAAGCTTATCCAAAACTTTCATGAGATTTTGGGGGAAAAAATTACAATCATAAATTTTTATTTAATATGAAGTGATCACATTTACCATTTCTTTTAAAATTTTTATTAGTAATTAAGGATAAAGAGGGGAGATTATCCAATTATTTTGAGACTATTTAAATTTTCTTTGGTAGGGGAGGGTGTGCAACTATCCAGTGAATAATAGGGACCTCTAATATGCAAGGATGAGAGAATGGGTATAGTCAATGGCGTGGTGCCTTGCAGTACAAACACATTGTAGAGTGAAAAATCTGCAGAATGAATGTGAAACCCAGCCTCACATTTTGGAAAATGGGGTTCCTGAAGTAAAAATGAATCAAAGTAACAATTTAAATAAGAACAGATTAGATTTTTTCACCGAGACTCTGAATTCTACTTTTAAAAAGATAAAATTCTCTGATTTTTAACACATTTACAGTTAAGCGCTGACTTTGATATTGTATGCTTGTAATTAGTTTTTGTAGTGTTGTGTTTGTTTTAAATGTGGTGAATTATAGATATGTTTTTTGTTGACTTTGTACCGCGCTTCGAGCCTTTGGGGATGAAGCGTGTTTTTTAAATGAACTTTATTATTATTATTATTAAATATATTTTTTTTTTAATTTATCAAGGACCATTAGAAAGTCGAAAGCCATGGGTGTCTCTTAACTTCTGCATATCAATTTCTATATGTACTGCCTACGACAATTGGAACATTGTTGCTCCAAGTACATTAATCCACTGACGAGCACAAACAATAGGGCTGCATGGTGAGCTTGACTGAACTCTGCAATTTCTTGGACAGAAAGGGAATATTTGTTCCAGTTATTTCTTCCTAAACATTTATGGTCTAAAGAGATAGGCCGTATCATTTGGCTATGGCTAGCAGGACAATGAGTTCACATTTAAACCCCATTTCTGTGAGTGCAATTACTTACCCATGATATTTCCTGATCAAATAAATTCTAGAGATAAGTAGGAAAGGTTCCTCAGACTTAATTCTATATCCCTAACCAAAAAATATAATCAAAATATTAAAATTTAATACTAGAGAAAATCAGTTGCTACCTCCTGCTCGGTCCTCCATAACTGTATCATAATAATTTACAAATGCCCGTAATTCTTTGGGTCTGTGTGACAGGGCTTGGAAGACATTCGGAACAAAGCCTGCCTGTCAGTAAAGTCAAAATGTTTTAAAATCTTTTAACAGCCAAACTGTGTGTGAAAAGCATGCAAAATGAAACACTTATTTTGTGTGCAGGCAAAAATATACTTCACCTAACAATTTATCAGTAATAAAATGAGTTAATTCAAGTGACATTTAAATAAATCACGGTTATTAAAGTATTTACTTTCTCCTTTGCCTCCTCCATCAGCCTTTGCATATCTTCAGGCACATGGCTTGAATCTGGGATGGGATAACGTGAAATCTGTTGCTTTTTAGAGTTATCTCCCTGGGATGCATGTCGCACTACTGTTGTGGGTTTGGAGAGTACCTAGAAATGTGAAATTTTTTAGACTTTCATCAAACAGCTTCACTTTATGAAGTCATATCTATATAAATTATCCATTATTATGTGCAATATTGAGTTCAGTTCATAAAGCAGGGGTCTCAAACTTGTGGCCCGTGGGCTATTCGTGGCCCGTGGGCTATTCGTGGCCCGCCACATGATATCAAAGTTTAGTTTTAATGCGACCCGCGCATTTTCCCCATTCATCTATAATGTGACCCTCCCCGACGGTTTCAGTCGAATCTCACCAACTAGTCTAATTTTTATTATGTTTGTATCAATTTGGACATGGATTATGGTGGTAAAAACCATTTTAAAATAGGATTAAATGTTTTTATTTTTTAGCACTTTATGAGACAAACATGACCAAAACCAAAGCGTGATTTTGAGAAAAGTTTAAAATTTCATTTAATGGGTAATGCACAACCATAATTGTGTAAATCGAAGCAATCTGACATGGTATCAAAGAATCCCTATTAAAATTGCCGCTAGTGCTTACAAGTGAGGTAAATTCCAAGACTGTCAGCTTGCTTCCTTACACAACAGGTTTAGTCAAAAAAACGCTTTTTCCGATAAAAAAACAAAATTCATTCTCCCTAAAATAACATCTTCGTCGCATATAGAATTCATAAATATTGCCTTCTCCTTACTCTCTGAACACGTTTTAACATGTGAAGCCTCATTGGATAAGGATGTGGTGGTTGTTCCTGTACTAAGTGATCCCAAATTGCTCATGGTACTAAGTGATCCCAAATTGCTCATTGAGCTGAATGTACTCAACAATAAGTTACAGGACGAGGGGTAGCTTGTCAGTGGTGCCTATCAAATATCAGGGAATTCTGCACAAAACTTGTGCAATTTCCCAACATGTAAAGTACTCATGGACTCGAGCACACCACTCAGTAGTAACTTAGTAGTAAGTATACTGGTGCCTTTGCAAAGCTACAGGAAGAATTTGATCATATGTTTTTAGACTTCAAAACACACAATGCCACTTTTCAACTTTTTGCTGACCCTTTCTCCTTTAATGTGGAAGATTCCCCCACCCCCCAGCTGATTTATCTTCAGTGCAATTCTAAGTTCAGGGAGGTGAATGCAAAAACCGACAAGCATGGACAATTTATGAGAGCATTGCCCTCCACCTTCACTGAGATTTCCAGGTGTTCTATTTGATCATGTGCCTTTTTGGAAGTACCCATCTGTGTGAAAAGCTCTTTTCCACTATGAACTTTAACAAGTCAAAGTTCAGGGACAAACTAACTGATGAGCATCTGCAAGCTATACTGATGGTCTCAGTTGCTTCCTCACTCAAGCCAAATGTCGCTCAGCTGTGTAAGAAGAAGCGCTGACAGGTCTATGGCAACAACAAACAGCGGGGAAGAAAGTGACACCTAGTTCTTTAGAACCCTTAATGTTTTTATTCTGTATAAATAACTTTTGAGCAGATTGTAACAGATGAACTTTAATGAATTTTTAATCGCTTTTTTTGTGTGGAATACTTGATGCGGCCCGGTCTCACTCAGACTCTACCTCCTGCGGCCCCCGGATGATTTGAGTTTGAGACCCCTGTCATAAAGCAACCTTTATTGGGCATTTGATAAAATCATTAGCACTTTGTAATAAATCATTGAAAGTTTATTTATGTGATGTAATTTAAGTTATTATGATATGCATATAGCTACATTATCTTTAAAAATAATAATTAGATTAAAACCCCTAACATAAGCATCAATTGTAAAAATAGTCAGGGAAAAGTTAACATAGTGTAGTATATAAAAAGTAATTTTATATACTGGGTGTGTGGCTGTAAATGTGCTTTAAAAAAGTGTGTGTTCATTATTTAAAGTAAATATCCAGATCAGCAACAAATTTTATTGTACAATGGAACAATTTCTGATGTCCCCCTTTTAAAGCTTTTTTTTAAAAGGGTGAGTATCTTTGAATGAATCTGACTGTTGAATGTTAGTAAACAGTATACAAGACAGAAGTTGCTGTTAAGGTTGGGGATTAGAGGGGATATGGTAGGAAAAGGTTTGAGAGATCATGTGTGGGCATGTAGAAGTATGGGATGACAGTTTGGGTGGGTGTGTAGAAGTATGGGATAAGAGCCTGGGTGGGGTGCATGAATAAAGAGAGGGAGGTGTCACTTAAAGAGGCTAAGAGGTCTAGGGGGAAGTATGGAATGAGAACCTATAGGTTTTGGGGAGGGAGTGTAAGAGGGGACGAGGCAGTGTGTGTGGTGGAGTTGGGTGTGACTTTGCAGACTTTGCATACTGGTATCAGTTGTTTCACAGTGGCATGCCTTGACTATATGCTAGTCAAAGGGCGAACTGTCAAAATTGCGCAACCACACACCTATCTTGCCATCTATTAAATAGTGTTGATAATTAATATAATATGAACATTTTAACAGGAGGGCTGAAGGGAGAGTCACAGTCTTCACACTCACCCCCTCCCCCCACTTTTTCCTTTTTTTATTTATGCTACTGGTCCTGATCTCAACCATCTCCATGAACATAGGCTACAATAGGGCTCCCTGTTTTAGCCCTGACTAATAATTATGGTGAGCCACCCATTTGGCATAATCATAATCTCTTAGTGTGTGCATATTCTACATGACATTTACATAACAGTCATAGTTTGCATATTAAATGATATTACATAAACATACCCTTATAAGATTTCTGCAGTGTCGTATTGATAAAGACATAGCTCAGAATGCTGAAATCTCTAGATTCTTATCATGATCACACTCAAATTAGCACACAGTACTACAGAAACGTTTCTACTGCCCCTACTCTACTTTTCCTGGTCTTTAATCGATTGGTTATGCTTGTGGTCAGTGGAGTAGGCCTTGATTGCAGTGTTTATGTTTAACCGGTGTTAATTTAAATATGTGCACCTGAAAAATCTTTCTGTTGGCGGTGAATGAGAATCTTGATATTTAGAGTCTAGGTCTTAAATTTAGACAATTATTAATTTGAAAAATAGAAAATTAGCGGGGAAAACACTACAGACTATAGCCAAAATTAAACATTTATGTGTTTAGATAAATATCATTAATTAATTCATAAAATAGGCTGTGAACATGCCACAAGACATGAGTAAAACATGAGGTTTACCTCACATGTGAAAACTGTGCAATGTGAAGACTGGACCTGGTGGACCATGTGAAGACTGGAGCTGGTGGATCACTCAAAAGAGATCTTTACGAGACTCATTGGAAAAACAGGTACAGCAAACATGATGTGGAACGTGTAAAGAGCACAGTGGTAATCACCATCTACATGTCTATTCCAAGGAAATGAATGAAACTTAAGTATGGGAAACACCCAGGGAAAGCACACGGCAAGGAAGAGCAGAATCGACCCCAATCCAACTAGGATCCAACACTGGCCTTAGGTTAACTTTCACCCTGTGCAAAGCACCCATTCGGCGCCCCCTCCTCTGTCCCTGTATGGCTCCGATCTCTTTCCGATTACGACATGGGCTATGGAGCACGTGTTATGATGCTATACTTGCAGCTAACCATACGCATTTTAACATGCACATTAATTTAGACTGTTTAGATTGAAATAATTGTACAAGGGACAGGGAAATTAACAATGCAACTTTTATTGTATGAAAACTCATTGTATGAAAAGCGATTGTATGAAAAGTTAGAATAGCGTTTCTCGACCCCGGACCCGAGGTTCACACTTCACTATAATAAATTAAGGGAATTTAAATATTTACTGGGCGCCCAAGGCGCATCTATGGCCACGGCACCCTGTGCGACGATACAGGTCGCACACCCTAAGGGCCGGCGTTGTAGGACCAAAACAACATGGACAAATAGGATTGGCAAGTCACCTTCGTACTCTTTCTGCCGACACGTTCGCTGTTTTGTTACGTTTAATTTTTCAGGTTTAACCATACTTTGTTTTACTCATTTTATTTCGTACTCACCGTTGAATCTTGAGTATCTTGCTTTAATCATCTTCGCATGTGAAGGACAGGACTTAAAATCGTGTAGCCTAGAAGTAAAGGAACAAAGTTAACACGAGTCGCCTTTAAATGGCGTTATTTCATGATTTTATTGAGAAAGCATTTTTCCACATTCAAATTCAATTGAATTTTTTTGAATCAGACTTTCTCGAAAGTGAAAGCATCATCTGCTTTGAATTAATTTTTTAATATACGCCTTTGATGTCATAAGGTTATTCTTTTAATTTTTTTATCAGAATTAGAAATCCAAATATTAAAATGAAGAGAGAAGAAAAAAATAGTTTTCGTTCATATTTAGTGATTATCGCTATCAATTTTTCAATGCACTAAAGAAAAAATATGAGTGCTATATTGTATCTCGGACTTAATATCTATAGTCTCGTTAAATACCCGAGACAGCCCCACTCAAGAAACGTAACTCTTTGTGTCGCTAATGTCACAGCCGTCTCTAAACTCAAATGGGTTGCATTTGTGGCAAAGATTCCATTTATGTGGATAATCGCAAATTTAACTTGAAGCAACGCATCGGAGAGGGGTAACTGAAATTTACCCAAATTTAAATAACTAACATTCATGTGTATACAAGTGATTAAAATGTCAGTAGTCTTAACTGTTAGTGACAAAGTCAAATGAAAATTTAAAAAGTAATGGCGAACTCGGTGTCTACTCATTTTCGGTAATTCTGAGTGACTCTGACTCATAATAAAGAATAGTTATGTAACATAATAAAACAACAAGGTATGGGAAAATCTGATAAAAGGCTTCTTGCAAACTAGAGACAGACCGAAAGTGATTTTCTGATTTAAATGACTTTTGGCCAAAACCGAAAGTTAACATTTCCCGAAATTTAACTTTTTAGTTTCCGCCGAAACTTAAATATTTAGGTATTTTGAAATTCGTCTATGCATACATTCTACGATGGGGGAACGGGAAAGTATCAATATTTACATTCTTTTTTAAAAAAATGAGATCATCATGAATATTAATAAATAAACATTAATGAATACTTTGGCTTTTACTGTTTTAATGTAAAAGTAATGTAAATTTCTTAAAAATGTTTTGTTAAGTAGTAAGATAAGAGAAAATTTAGACCGGGGGAGGGCAAAATTCATGCAAAATAGACCCTTGAGTACCCTTTTCTTTTATAATAAAATATCAATCTAGAACATTAACATATACCTATAATTTAATGCCATAATGCCATAATAATTATTGTGGCTCTACTATAGAAATATCACCACAATGTTTTGCGGTTTTCGTCATACTATTACTAATAATGCTTTATGTTTTCATAAATAGCTGACCAGATACCCCTGTATTAATATTTAGCCTAGTACCAAAAATTAGTCTTACCGTGCTGGTGACGTAATGATTTCCCTCATCTCCCTTGGTGGGGGAGATTTTTTATGTTTAATATAATCCCTAACACTATCTTATTTTATTCAGTGCCAATCAAAGTCAACTTAGGTGTCAGTTAACCAATGAAGTCCCTCCTTTCAAATTAGAACTTATCTTCCACAGTCTTTATTTGCCTACTATGAGATGACCCACAACTGCCAATAAAAATTCAAAAGGAAGAGGGCTGCAGAGGGGTGTCACTTTTTTTCTTTATAGGGAGATGCAGTATTTTGGGACAAATGAATAGTTTTTTAGTTTTTTATTTTGTGGTAGTGAGCTGCAAAAACTTGGCCCTTTATTCCTAGCTGAACTGTAACAGCAGTGTTACCGTACGTCAAGATCATGTGCAACCGCCATTTCTCTGGTTTACACCTCATAGCAAAATCCCTGGTCTGCTCATTAAGTTTCACTGGTCAGCTATTATGTTTCTCTGGTCCGCTCATTATGAAGAGCCAGAATGATCAATACATTGATCATGGGCCCTCAAAATATAGAAGATACCTCAGCCACCTAGTGCGGCTAAGACATTGGTTGCTCTCTGATGTCGGTGGAATTCTATTACGTAGCCAAGTCTAATACTTCACATCTGGCGCTGTTTCCCTGGTCAGCTGCTTACCAGGATGAAGTCATACTGACCACAAGACATCCAAACTCATGACCAGTAAACACAGAGAATAGTGAACACACAGATAATTGAACACATATACAAGTGAACCCCTGGACAACTGAAGACAAAAAAAATCTAATATGCTCATGCACCTAAGTAATCATACGGCGCGCCTCAACAACCTCAACAATGAGGGATGTTGCAACCAAATATCGCACTCTGTGGTTTCCAAAGATGCTGTATCAAATTCCGTCATTGGATTCAGGAAAATTGACTGCAGTAGACTGAAATAATATGTACAACTATTTTTTGCATTTTCGTACCCAAGCTGGGAGTCAAAAACTGGTTTGATGTCTTTTTTCCAAAATAAACTTTTTTTTTAACGACTTTTCATTGTTGGCTTTTATGACCATTAACAGCCCCAGAGTGCACCCAAAGTCAGGCTGACATAAATTGGAGTGAATTGGGACTGCAAAATTTTTTGCTGGTCACAAACCTGATGATGGGGCAAGTAAATCTCACACCTAAAAAATATAAAAACTTATGGCAAATCAAAATCTGTTCTACTTGCAACAGTCTCACATCTGTTAAGCTCAGTGGTCATCATGGATTCTGATTACTGCCTCTGCATTTGCCCCCGAAATGTGTAGAAGTGAGTTTGGACTTGTCCATGATACTTGACCGTTGGACAAAGTTATCTATGTGCTCACTTGTCAGTGTGGTCACTTGTCGGTCCATTCACTCGTCATGGGTTTAGTTATCTGGGAACTGTGTGGTGCATTGGTCAGAAATCAATTTCTAACCCGCCCCAACCCCACCCCACTTTAAGAGAAAATTTCTGTATATTCCAAACGCACTGAGGAGGAAGGGCTCAATGTTATTTTTATTATTATTATACTACAACCATCGGCCAAAGATTGTTGGTAAATACATAAAGTAGGAAATCCATTAAAAAAGAGAAGAAACATTGCAGGTATATTTTTAAAATCTTTTTTAAATAAAACTTTCCTTATTTCTGGTAAAAAAAAATTTAAGTGAGTGTGTGAAAGGTGATGGGAGTGGAGGGCTGAACTTTGCACCATCCATTAATACTTCACTGTATTACACCACTGCAAGCTGACGCCTCCATGTTATAGTCTGACTGGACCTTACTTTTACTGTACCGGTACGAATATTGCTTCAGGTCTGAGACTGTGGAAAAGTGAAAAGTTTGGCCACTCACCAGCTGAATAGACAATAAACAACCTTAGCGATTGAGTGATTTTTAAAAAAAAAATTTATATTAAAAATCCATCTAAAACTAAAAAAATACATGACAGACTAATTGGAAAGCAATAAATACTTGTTCTCTTAACTATAGGAAGTTTTTAACTGAAAGCAATAAATACTTGTTCTCTTAACTAGAGGAAGTTTTTAACTGAAAGCAATAAATACTTGTTCTCTTAACTATAGGAAGTTTTTAACTGAAAGCAATAAATACTTGTTCTCTTAACTATAGGCAGTTTTTAACTGAAAGCAATAAATACTTGTTCTCTTAACTATAGGAAGTTTTTAACTGAAAGCAATAAATACTTGTTCTCTTAACTATAGGAAGTTTTTAACTGAAAGCAATAAATACTTGTTCTCTTAGCTATAGGAAGTTTTTAACTGAAAGCAATAAATACTTGTTCTCTTAACTATAGGAAGTTTTTAACTGAAAGCAATAAATACTTACTGAAAGCAATAAATACTTGTTCTCTTAACTATAGGAAGTTTTTAACTGAAAGCAATAAATACTTGTTCTCTTAACTATAGGAAGTTTTTAACTGAAAGCAATAAATACTTGCTCTCTTAGCTATAGGAAGTTTTTAACTGAAAGCAATAAATACTTGTTCTCTTAACTATAGGAAGTTTTTAACTGAAAGCAATAAATACTTGTTCTCTTAACTATAGGAAGTTTTTAACTGAAAGCAATAAATACTTGCTCTCTTAACTATAGGAAGTTTTTAACTGAAAGCAATAAATACTTGTTCTCTTAACTATAGGAAGTTTTTAACTGAAACTGAAAGCAATAAATACTTGCTCTCTTAGCTATAGGAAGTTTTTAACTGAAAGCAATAAATACTTGTTCTCTTAACTATAGGAAGTTTTCAACTGAAAGCAATAAATACTTGTTCTCTTAGCCATAGGAAGTTTTTAACTGAAAGCAATAAATACTTGTTCTCTTAACTATAGGAAGTTTTTAACTGAAAGCAATAAATACTTGTTCTCTTAGCTATAGGAAGTTTTTAACTGAAAGCAATAAATACTTGTTCTCTTAACTATAGGAAGTTTTTAACTGAAAGCAATAAATACTTGTTCTCTTAACTATAGGAAGTTTTTAACTGAAAGCAATAAATACTTGTTCTCTTAACTATAGGAAGTTTTTAACTGAAAGCAATAAATACTTGTTCTCTTAACTATAGGAAGTTTTTAACTGAAAGCAATAAATACTTGTTCTCTTAACTATAGGAAGTTTTTAACTGAAAGCAATAAATACTTGTTCTCTTAACTATAGGAAGTTTTTAACTGAAAGCAATAAATACTTGCTCTCTTAACTAGAGGAAGTTTTGAACTGAAAGCAATAAATACTTGCTCTCTTAACTATAGGAAGTTTTGAACTGAAAGCAATAAATACTTGCTCTCTTAACTATAGGAAGTTTTGAACTGAAAGCAATAAATACTTGCTCTCTTAACTATAGGAAGTTTTGAACTGAAAGGGCTTAATTATGTGCACTTGAAAATGGCGTTTAATTTATGTGCGAAAATATGAGATTACCTTCCTTGCGTCCTTTTTTCAAGTTTTCCCTATACCTTATTTCCCCAATTATTTTTCCTTATTATCACTTTGACTCAGTTACTCACTCACTGCCTACATAGTCTAAGACTGGAGTCTAGTCGTAACTAATGTCTTTACATTTAATTAATCTTAACTATTTGAGTCCAAGTCCTTAAATTTTTTGAGGCCTATAAATTACAATAGTATAATTAAATAGACCTATCAGCATTTACCAAATTTTTGTTCTACGTTGCTCCTGAGCATATTATTGTTAATTATTAATAGATTTAATGTGACACACACACCACCCCCTCTACTAAGTAAAGGCTTTAGCCGAAGAGCATAAATTTAAAAAATGGGTCTCGGAGATATTAACCCTCTTGAGACGATACGGCCAATCTATCCTCCCAAGAGTTGAATGACGAAAAAAGTGATTTCCCGATGAATCGGCCCAATAAGCGCAGGCTGCTTCGTACATTTCTTGCACAAAGTACATTTTAATGGCAACTTCCATTGATTATTTGAGGATTCTGTTGTTTACATTGATTTTTGTGTGTTTCAAGTAGATCGTAAAATTACAACATGTCTGACAGTGACACTGATCAAAGTATCCTTAGTGATTCCGATTTCTCCCTGCTAAGCAGTGATTCTGACACTGATGAAAACAACCAGGAATGTAATGAAGAAGCTCAAAATGATGATGGTGATGATAATTTTGTGGATCCGTGGGTAAGGATAAGGGATCCTGAACTGGATAGAGATGACCCCTATGAATTTTTAGAAGATATAGGACCTATAAATATGCCACATAGCATAAGCACCCCAGTGGAGTATTTTATGCTATTTTTTACACCAAATACCATTCAAATGTTTGTGAGAGAGACCAATAGGTATGCAGACAACTTTCTCAGTAACACGCAGCTCAAAAGAAAGTCCATATGTCATAAATGGGTGCCTGTTACAGAGAGTGAAATGAAGGCATTTATGGCCATGATTTTGAACATGGGCTTGATCCGTAAAGCCACAATCAAGTCTTATTGGAGTACATCAAGCTCACAGAGAACACCATGGTTTCGCCGAGTCATGGGCAGAGAAAGGTTTGAATTAATCTTGAAATTTTTTCACCTGTTTGACAGCACACGTTTGGATAGACCTGGGCAAGATGGCCTTGACCCTAGCTCACAGTTAAATTCACTAGTTGAACATGCTAATCATGTTTTTCCACAACATTATAAACCACATAGAGAGATATGTATAAATGAAAGCCTAATAGGGCAAACAACCGAGACCCAGTTGATCCAGTATCTCCCAAACAAGCATAAATGGGGAGTAAAACTTTATATGCTTTGTGATTCCGTGTCAACCTATCTACTTGGATTTTTCGTCTATAAGGATAAGGGAGATAACATCAGTGGCCATGCAGACAATGATCATGCCCTTGCTCAAAGAGCTGTTATGAAATTACTAAGATTGGGCTCATATTTGAGGAGGGGATATCACCTTTTTTTGGACAAATTTTTCACAAGTATGCCACTTGTGCGTGAGTTAGCCGAGTATGGCACGCATATTACTGGAACTATACGCCACAGCAAAAAAGAATTTCCAAAAGATTTGACAGTCAAAATGCAACCTGGGGAGATCATTACATACAGGCAAGGCGAAACACTGGCAACGGCGTACCGAGAGAATTTCCAGAAAAACTCTGTGCTGTTAATATCCACGAAGAATAAAGCAGACACAAGAGAAGTGCTAATTCGGCGGAGGGGCGTACCACAAGGGGGAGGTGCACCACAGAGGGCAAAAAAACCAGTGACTCTTTTGGACTACAATACAAATATGAATGGAATTGATCAGAAAGACATGATGCTCTATTTTTATCTTGATGAAAGGAGAACCATCAAGCATTGGAAGAGGGTTACATTCAGTATTATGTCATGTATGCTGCACAATGCCTACATTCTGTACAAAGAACACTCAACTTCAAATATGGATAGATATAAATTTAACACTTCAGTCATTGAAGCACTTATCTCAGAACACATGGGTGATAAAGATATTAAAGATGAATCGGAAGATGCCATCGAACGAGGTGTGTGTCCAGTGCCCAACCATGGTGAAAGGGACTGCTGCGTTTGCAGCAACAGAAAAATAGCGGGAGGCAGGAAAAGGAGTAGAACAATGTGCCAGAGGTGTCTGAAAGGCCTCCATGGGCCTTGCTTCCCAAAACACAAGTGTTAGGACTTATTCAGGCTTCATCCATCAAATAATTCTCCCAAAATTTACAAGTAAGTCGTGTTTATTCTAAGTGTAACCAAACATTACATGCATAAATTATGCAAATCATAATAGCTAATTTGAATAATGTTGAGATTTCAGTTTCATTGATAAAGATTGTGTTACTTCATTCAATACAAGAATATATAGTGTCTTATAAGAGTTATTAGAGTATTTTTTATTTTAAAAATGTGCAATATAAATATAAGTGTCGGGCTTGTGATAAAGGCTTTGTCAATTTGGCATCGAAACACCAAAAAAGGCTCTGTCTCAAGAGGGTTAAATTTAAATTACATGAGCTGTTTTAGTCAATTTTGAATTGACAGTGTGCTTATAGCAAGGCCACAAGATTCAACTTTGTATAAAACCTACAACACCAGCAACAAAGGACAAACAGTAAAGTTAGTAGCACTGTTTTTTTTTCCTAAAAGATCCTGTCACCCCCCCCCCCCCCCCCCCCCCCCCCCCCCCCCCCCCTTAAAGGAAACACATTTCCTACCCCCAGAGCCTTCACCTTAGCCTTGGCCTTGCACCACCCATGGCTGCAGAGGCCTCGGATATTTATTTAAGGGATCTAAAATTGTGATATGGAAAAAATTAAATAAACTATTAACTTTGAATGCAGGGTTTACAAAATTGAAAAGTGTCAGTAGGCCTCTCAAAAGTCACACAATGGTTCAAATCTTCAAATTGCTTTGGGGAAACACTGGTCTATAGGATTAATTAATAAGATAATTCACTAGCCCAGCAGCTATAAATAAGAATAATGAATAGGCAGGCCATTTTTTAGATACGCTAATTTAAGGGCTATCAATAATATGTTAAAATAAGTTATAGAAAATTTAGATGGGTCTTAGGCTTTCACCTGAAATTTAATGAGTTCCAAATTTCAAATCATTTAATGAGTATCATTATGCCCTATGGCAGTAGCAGTGCTGTCCAACATGTGTTGATTCTTGAGCCTGTGTGGGTAACCAAATTTTATTTAGTGGGACCAGGGCTGCATTAGTAAATTCCAAAAGGACTTTCAATGATATATCAATACACACAGCAACCGAAAAGACTCAAAGCTGTAAAATATTCTTTCACTTCGTTTAAAAATTAATGAAAAAATTTTATATCTAAGCCCTAAAGTCAAAATGCGTTAACATTCTTACCTATTATTATTAACCCAAGGTATTTTTGTCCATCATTTCAGTGGATTTAGTTATGTAGATTTAGTTGAAGATGCTCAAACACACAAAGCCTATGCCCTCAAGAGAATCTTGTGTCATTCCAAGGAAGAAGAACACATAGCACTGCAGGAAGTTCAGATCATGAGAGAAATCAATCACCCAAATGTTGTGCCTTTGGAATGTTATAGCATCCACAAAGTGAACTTTCACACTCGAGCTGTTGATATTACTTGTGAAGTGTTTGTTATCATTCCTTTCTACAAGGTCAGGATACTCTTAAACATTTTATTTTATTTATACATTTAAACAAAATTTGTATGGTTGAAAAAAAAAAAAAATTCATCGTGATATGATCTGAGCTGTGGAATGATCTTTGTTTTTCTTTTTTTTTTTTTGACAAGACTTTATAGAATAACTTTTTTTATTAGGTAATTCTATTTTTACGGATTCATGTTTTAAACAAGTCCAAAACATTTTAAAATAGTTAAAAAAAAAAAAAAATTCATTGTGATTTTATCTGAGTTTTGGAATGATTTTTGTTTTTTTTTTTTTTTTTGTGACAAGACTTTATAGAATAACTATTTTTATTAGGTAATTCTATTTGTACGGATTCATGTTTTAAACAAGTCCAAGACATTGTAAAATCTCTTGAAAATGCCAAAGGAGTACACATTACTCTTAAATTGATCATAGATTAAAACTGAATTACCGGTAAGTATGTGTTGAGTCATCTCATTCAGTCATGTGACTTGCTCATTGGCAGAAAGGCACCTTGCAAAATCGTATTGATACCCTCAAGCTTAAAGAAGAGCATTTCAGTGAAGACTTAATCTGGAAACTTATGTTGGGCATATGTCAAGGTGTAAAGGCTATGCATGACCATACGCCTCCTTTTGCTCATAGGTAAGAGTCTTAAAGTTAAAGACACAAAAATTTCAGTTCAAATTAATAAAAAGATGCTGCAGATTGATAGCTCTACATCTTTTACTTTTTAAAAAATAATCCTATGGAAGAAAAATCTATATTTTGATGTCTGTATTTACAATGTTTTCGAATAATACAGTTTTTAAATATGTAGCTTAATAAAAGTGAAGACAATCATAGAGTACTCTGTATATTGTTAAAACTTCAGCTGCCTTGGTAACTGTCAGACATTAAGTACCATGGAATGTTGCTTTAATTGTATTCTATTTATCAGAGATCTAAAGCCTGACAATGTAATGACCCAAGAAGATGGGACTCCTGTTGTTATGGACTTAGGCTCTGCTGCTCCTGCTCGTTTAGAAATAAAGACAGCAAGAGAAGCATCATCATTGCAGGTGTGCTTTTTTGAAATTCAATACCGACAGCGATAATGTTCTGTTTGACTACCAGTTCAGACATTTATATTTTGCAAATTGGTTGGTTTGGAGTTTGTGCTTATGGATGATACAAATCTATCAATACATGTTTGAATTGGTATCTGCTCATTATGAACGTCAGTCATAAATGTTTAAAAATATATGAATAATTTTTTCATGTTATATATTATAATATATTAAAATTTGGCTGTGATTTAAAGAATCATTCCTCAGAACATATCTGCCATTCCTAGACTCCCTAAATCATTTGTTTCATGAAAAACTTAACCTGAATGATTTAATTTGAATAAAACTTCCAATTCACTTCCTCAATCATTCACTTATGTTAGGAACATCTCACAATAATTATATAAGAAAGATTGCACCATAAGTATTTATTAGGAAGATTGCATCATAATGTTGTTAGGTAGATAGCTATCACTGTAGGACTGGTTGGAGTTTCTGCTACAGTTTCTCCTTGTAATTTACAATGTATTTGTAGGATCTAGCAGCAGAGAGATGTTCAATGCTTTTCAGAGCCCCAGAGTTGTTCACAGTTGAAACTAATACAACAATAGATGAACGGACGGACATATGGGTTAGTTGCTGGACACTTTTTTAAGTTAAAAGCTTATCTTTTTTAGTCTATAGCTTGCAACATTTATAAATTTAACATTTTATTGCATTACCCAAGAAAGAATTGAGAACTACCTAGCACAAATATTTCCATCAAAGTTTAAATTTATTAGAATGATTTTTCTTTGTATTTCAGTCTTTAGGCTGCCTTCTTTATGCTTTGGCATTTTTGGAATCTCCATTTGAAAGTGCATACCAACGTGGAGACAGCTTAGCACTAGCCACAATGGCAGGCAAAATTACATTCCCTGAAAATTCTAGGTAATTGTCTTAAGTTTGACAGTTTATCAAAGTGTTTTTGTTTGTAAACAAGATACGTACAAGATATGTACAAGATATATACAAGATAAATACAAGATATGTACAGTACAAGATATGTACAAGATATTTGACATTTTTAAAAAACAAACATTATGCTTTCCTGATGCAGATTCCAAGACTCGCATCAATTTATTGCTTAGTCAAATAAAACTAGTAGCCTTTGAAAAAGAAGGGCTTTCCTTACCTTTTACTGCTGTTTAGTTACCACATTGAAAAAACTGTGTGTGAGGCGGCATTGAATGTAGGTCACATTTTCCCCCACATGCAGGTCTGATGCCCTTTTCTTAATTAACAGATTTTTATAAGTAATATACCATTTTGTAGATAAATTAATTTTCTTTAAGATAAATCTTAAATCCATTGACCTTCGTTCGTGGGAGGCACTTGCCATGGACTGTGCAAGAGAAAAGCATTAAAAAATGATTAAAATGTGCTTACTTACGTTCAATTTTTGAAATTCCTAAACATTGAATTATTATTTACACTGCCCATAATTTATGTATTCACATCTACACCAAATGAGAAAAAGGTTTCCAAATTTGTACAAATCAGCAATCGGATAAACACATCTCCAACTTATTTACCGTATGTTTGCTTTTGGTTACCTTGTTGCTCGTTACCATGAAAAATATTTGCCAGCTACCCTCAAAATAACAAAGAATACATTTATTGTTGACATTCTAACTGTACCATTTAGTTTTTTTTAGTTAACTTCCCTTCAGTCAATAAAAATCTGAAACTAAGAATATAAATATATCACTAGTTTTATTATGAAACAAACCGTGATGCTCATAGATGCAGTGCCGTCTTAAGGCATGGGTCCACTGGGTGCTCACGCTTCTAGGGGGCCCCACGGTTATAGAAGACTCACTCATTTAGGGGTATCATGCTGCACAGATTTTTAATGAATATTGAAAGATTTTGGCTATTCAATTTGATTTAAAATTTAATGGACAGCACATTTGCCAGTTTTAACCCACGATATTATCGATACATTGCAAAATTAATATTATAAATGGGAATCACAAGTTGAATATTTCTTCTTAAAAGGGAATAGCTCTTGTCAACAAGTTTCACTTCTCCCAGATCATCATCATCATGTCCCTTAGTCCTTGGACCATTCGGGCGCCACAGATGACATGTGAACTATCCTCCGCCATTCGTCTCTGTCTTCTGCACTACGCATTGCATCGCCCAGTGTTAGTCCTGTCCACTCTTTGATGTTATCCTCCCATCTTTGTCTTTCTCCCAGATATGAATTAAAAAAAAAAAAAAAAGTAAGAAATTTGTGTTTACATCATGTTAGACTAAGATGTTAGTGCACCAGGGGCGATTGGCCCTCTACCCTCATTCGCATGGCCCCAAACATTTAGAGGGTTAGGGGCCTCAGTGCATTCTGTGCCCAGGGCTTCCGCTTTTGTAAAGACGGCTATGCATAGAAGGAAACTTTGTTGCTACCGGTGGCTTATGGTAGTTTACCAGTTAAGATTGCTGTATTACTACTTGGAATGTCTCCAAAGCTTATTGCATTTTTGCTTCTCTAGCCCAGCAGTTTTTAATACTAGTTTTTAATTTTGATTCTTTTGCCTCTTATATCTGTTACTATTGCAGCTATTCCAGCCGTGTACCTGAAATTATTTTGTGGATGCTAAAGCCCAAAGCAGTTGACAGACCATTTATCGATCAGGTGATTGAAAGAATTCACTCCACGCAGCATCTAGAGGAGAATCGTGTTTGACTGTGAATTAAAATGTTTTACACTATTCCTTTTTGTTTAAATGTACAAGGTTTAGCTTGACATAAAAAAAATGTATTAATTTGGTCTCAAGTTCTTTGAAGCCAAATCCCAGGAGGCAAGGCAATGTCATCTATGTGTTAAATCAATACTTAACTTATTTAAACCATCGTGTTAAGCTTTAAACAGCTCCCTATTTACCATGCTGAACTTGACATTTTTTGTAAAATTTTACTTGTAAATTGCAACAGATTGTTAATCCAGTGCAGTGATCTTGATGTCAAGGCCTGTTCTAAAGGTCCCTCATTATTTTATTTTGAAAATGTTGGGTTCAAAGATATCAGGTTGTGGTATTTTATTTTGATTTCCTTGATGATGTTAGGTAAACAAAGACTCTTATTTTTTAACCATAAAGTTTTGGATTCAATAAGTTGATGTAAGATAACTGTTGATTGTTTGTGTTTTCTGAAGAGCTGTATTGAAAGTATACAATGACATCACATTTGTTTCAACCATGCATCTGCGGTGTTGGAGTCTGCAGTGTTGGAGTCTTGATTACGGTTGATTTAAAATCCACCATTCACAACAGCCAACAATTTTTTTTCAAGGCTAAATCCAAGAGATTTTAAAAGTCTTTTTGAATATAGAATTAGAATTCATTTATTTTTCTTTACAAAAAAGTTTCATGACCTATTTTAAATTAAAAAGCCTAGATTTGTGGCACTTGACAGTTTGGTTTTGAACTATTTCCATGAGTAAATATTTCATGTTCTCTGTGTGGCTTTTAAACAAATCCTATCCATACAAATGCCATGCTTATGAAATGATTAATGTATTTACTATAGCAAAATATTTAATCATTTGTTGTGATTTTGTCATTTCAGTAGGTCGGGATACCGTTATTATTTGAATCCCAACTTATTAAATCTTGACAAGATCACATATTTTGGCCAGTAGAGGAGTTGCCTGTAACTAATAATTGAAAAACAATGTATTTTTTAAAAAATAAACATCTGCCTTCAATAATCATAGAGCCCAATATATATATATAATATAATATATATATATATATAAGCTAAAGTAAATGTGCTCGGATCAATTGTGTTTCATTCATACTTTCAATGATTTTTTTTCTTCTTTTGAAATTGTACATGAGGACAGTGGATTATAACTATGTATGAAAGAAACTATTTCAAGGTGCAATACATTTATGATGCTATACAAGAATGTATAAATTCAGTAAATTAGGTTATATTTTATGTTGGTTGAATGATTCTGAAAAGTACCGGTACAATCAATATATGATTCTGAAAATACCGGTACAATCAATTATCTGTACAATAAGTTCAGTGAAAATTTTTATGAACCTTATGATGAGGATATTGTTTTGTATATAATTTTTAGATTATAATCTTCTTTTGCCACTTTCTGGGAAAAAACAAAAGATGAACTATTTAAATTTAAAAGAAATATGGACTGCAATTTTATTTGGATTGCTCAGAATTAATTTCAGAGAACTAAATCAGCCATTTCATTTGGATTACTGAAAATTAATTTTTGTAGAGAACTAAATCTACATTCCAGTTAATCATGTATTAACTTGTTGGGAACATATTCAATTTCGTTTCAATAAAATATTTTCTATACTATAAGCAAAGCAAACTGTCTTCTGTAATGTTTTATCATTGTGATCGACATGTGTCTAAGTTCTAAAGACATTTAAAATTCTCTACTAATCAATAAGATGTTTTAGAGGACATCTGCTGAAGTTAATACATTTATATCATGTCTGGTGACCATATAAGCATGCAAAAGTTATCTGGCTAAAGACGGAACCATTCTAACTTGGTATGGTTGGCTGTATAATATTTTTAGGAGTTGAATCAGCTTACAAGTATATACCAAGGCTGCAAAAAATATTTTCTCTAAACCAGGCAAACTAATTTTATGTCAATACTTGAAAGCTGGCTTGAAAAAATCATGTGACATAATCTCAAAATGTTTCCTATGGTGTAAAGTCTGTGTCCTGCAATATTTGACAAGACCAGTAGATAGAAATTAGATATTTGACAAGACCAGGAGAAAGAAGTTAGGTATTTGACACCAGTAGATAGAGATTAGATATTTGACACCAGTAGATAGAAATCAGATATTTGAAACTACCAGTAGATATAAATTGGATACTGGTATTTGAAAAGACCAGTAAATGGAAATTAGAGTTTTTTAATGATGCTGGAATAGATACTTTAGTGAAATCCAAATAGATGTCAATGTCATTTTTCATACCTATATTTTTACGATAGTAGGGGAGACCATCCTAAACTGATCAAAATTAAAGAGCAGTCATATCTATCATAGTCTCAACTATCACTAGGACATATGCCTCAACTATAAACCCCTAGTGGCAGACTATTGTTCATCCTCTCTCTCTAAGCCTCATCTATCACTAGGACATATGCCTCAACTATATACCCCTAGTGGTAGACCATTGTTCATCCTTGCATGTGAATATGTCCAAGGCATCTCGTCTTTGTCTATTTGTTCCAATGGCAAGACCTAGTTAAGAGGACTGGAAATAGACCAGGATGCAGTGGATGACCACCAGTGGGCAGACGTTACTATAGTAACACTCTATTCCCACCACACTCGCAAAGATTAAGTGATGAAGACCGACACAGACAGCTTTTTCCTATGAACTCAGGAGGATGATGTACAGTCTTTGGTATAATGTCAAGCTTTGATGTTGCCTTTCCATAAGTTGAATGTTGACACACCTTTGATGTTGCCTTTCCATAAGTTGAATGTTGACACATCTTTAGTGCTGCCCTCAGTCTGTCATGTGATCTTGTTATCACAAATAATATTACTCTAGGTATGTATGTATGGCTGTAACTCTGTGAGACATGAACAGCATACAGCAGACATGCTTGTCAGCTAAACCATCTCCAACTATGCTGCCTATGTAAGCTTCTGGCATAGATGGCAGGACAGAATCCCTGATACAGAGTTCCTACAACGGTCTGATTGTATCAGCATCGACACGCTCCTACATAAAAGACAAGCCAGATGGGCAGGGCTTGTTGCGAGAATGTAAGACAGCAGACTTCCCAAACAACTAATGTTCTGTCAACTCTCCAGTTGGTGGGCAGGAAAAAGCTTTAGGGACTGTCTAAAAGCTTCATTTAAATACATTGACCCTGATTCATGGGAGACACTTGCCATGGACTGCGCAAGATGGCATGGCAGACTCGCTGTCAGAGCAAAATCCTCAGAGAACAAGCGCACTGCTCATACCCAAAGAAAAATTGACTAAAATCCTACTAGGACCTAAAACAATTTGTGTCCCACATGGGGTAAAGCTTTCCAGGCGTAGATGGGGCTGGCGGGCACCTGCGTTCTCACCATGTATTATAGCCTTGGTCATCGTCGCATGCGAAGAACAAACAACAAAAACTCTGTGATCAATCGGTGCGCAAAATGAACTTCCCAAAAGTTAGCACTGATTGGGATTCTTAAAAAGTGGGTAACCTGAATGAATGTTTTGTCAAGTAACTTGAGTTGATGGGAAGCTCGCATCGCTGCAGTCGCCATTGTTTTGTGGTTATGACTAGTTAGAATAAGGAATGATCTCATATCTGCTTAACTCTGTGCTACCAGAAGATAATACTAAAACAGAATGTCAAGATAATAGAGTTACAAGTATTTCAAGGATTTTTTATTTCAACATCAAACAAATAAGTTCTATTGATCCATGTCTTCTTCATCAGAACTTTCAAAATCTACAAGTTCTCCTGCATCATTTGGATCAACTGGTTCTGAAAAGTAAAATCAAAGTCATAAGACAATAATTATTGCACAGTGAACATTCTGAACACAATCTATCCTTACAAATAGAAGTTACCTTTTTCAAGCTTCTGTACATTTGATGTTGGATTCAAATACTAGTGTTAACCCTTGTGCACCCAACCCTCACTTAAAAGCAATTAAATATAGACTGATATGTAAACTCATTATTAACAATAAGAGAGAGAATTAATATTTACCTGGACCTAATTCTGTCAAAAGTTCATCTATGTGTCCTAGTAAAGCTTCATCCTGATATTTTATTTTAATGTACACCTTAGAACGAAAACAAAATGCACATGTTCTTCATATTGCTCAACTTCTCAAATAAACAAATGAAAAAAATTAAACAAATTTCAAGCCTAAAAAACATAAAATGACAATTCAATTGTTTTTTGGGCAATGGTCGATCAATAGGTGAGGTCACTTCTTAGGTTGATCAACAATGATGTGTTTACAAGTGTGTGTATTTCATGTCTCACAGAAAATGATTGGTCATGATCACGCCAGTGCAAGCTATGTCATTGGTCATGATCAGGCCAGTGCAAGCTATGTCATTGGTCATGATCACGCCAGTGCAAGCTATGTCATTGGTCATGATCACGCCAGTGCAAGCTATGTCATTGGTCATGATCATGCCAGTGCAAGCTATGTCATTGGTCATGATCACGCCAGTGCAAGCTATGTCATTGGTCTTGATTACGCCAGTGCAAGCTATGTCATTGGTCATTATCATGCCAGTGCAAGCTATGTCATTGGTCATGATCACACCAGTGCAAGCTATGTCATTGGTCATGATCATGCCAGTGCAAGCTATGTCATTGGTCATTATCATGCCAGTGCAAGCTATGTCATTGGTCATTATCCTGCCAGTGCAAGCTATGTCATTGGTCATGATCAACCACATGATTATGGTCAGCCAAACATTAGATTACATAGAGGGGAGAACAAAATTTTGATCTTTTCACATTTCACCAAGCCCAGGGAACAACTCACTATGACTTGAAAATCCCTAGCGTGAGAAGGATCAACTGGCAAATTTACCTACCTGGTTGCCACATTACAAGAAACCAATGCTCCCTTGCTCGTGGACTGAGGATAAGCCCAGAGCGCTTACATTCACTTATCAGATTGTGAGCCTGCGTCAAATAGGAGTGCATGTTTCTAGGACTCTACACTCATGACACACCACTGGGAAGTCCATCCCACAACAGACAGCTGGAACCACATCTTTCCCCACCCTGAGAAAGTGAGGAGAGGAGGATCCACCTCAACTACAGAAGTGACCTCATGCATTGACCGATCAGCCCAGATCATCAATAATATAATATATATATATATCAGTTGCTGTGTAGCAAGAAAGCACAGCACTTGAGCAGTTGTAATGAGGATAACCCTAAGGCTTGATTCTGAGGATTCCACCCAGTGCTACACTTCACATCCCTATACCAGACTGTGTGCCTGCATCAGATAGTTTCTAGGACCCTAAACCTACGACACACATCTGGGAAGTCCATCCCACGAAGTACAGCTTGGATATCCCCTTTTTGTTCCCCCCCCCCCCCTTTGAGAAGCCACAAAGGAAAGGACTGGAGGATCCACTTCCACCTAAGAAGTGACCTCACCTATTGATCGATCAATCCAGATCATCAATTGTTTAATATTGACAAGATGAGTTGTAACGGTCACAACATATTTGTCTCATTACAAAACACGACTTATGATGACGAAATGTTAAGTTATTAAGGGAGGCCTATATCCATAGTAACTATATTGTAAAATTATAAGCAAATGTTGATCTAAGCCATTCGTATAGGCAATTGATTTCATCCTTTTAAGATTTGTGATTTCTAAGTTTAGTAAGTTTAATGTAAATAAATAGGTTTGTTTCATTTGAATGAAAGTGGTTATAGACTTCTTTTTCATTACACAGAAGAGCATATGAATGAAAATATTTTCCTTGATGGTGGATTAGAGCAAACAAAAAACCCCTAGACATGAGCAGGTGATAACTCATACGAGTGTTATACACCTAAATTACGTAACACAAGTAATTTCATCACAACATTAAAATATTTTCTTGTCATTCCCTGTTGAGAATGTGACAAAGTCATATTTTAAAAAATGGTTTTCTTTATCTAAAATGATACTCTCTACTAACCTCCTTTCCTTTGTGCAGGTAGTGCCTAGCATTGCTATAATATTCTTCTCCTTGAAGGTAGTTGGCCCAGCCTATCAAGTACCAGACATCAGGGACTTCATCATCTTCATCTAGTAATGTCTCTAGCACATCAGTAGCCAACTACAGATGACCAACGTTACATTAAACTTTAGTTTAGACAAACTAATGGACACCCCCCCCCTCACACACACTTCTAATTCAACACAATGCGTCATATTGCTTAGCGACCAATATATACCAGTCGATCTTGCGAGAAGCATTATTTCCATCTGAATACCTTTGGGACTTTAAAAGTAGGAAGTTAAGTAAGTTTGTTTTAAAAAATTGATGTTTTTGTCTCTTTTGGTTTGTGAGCTTTGAGTGGTAAATTTTGACTGGTATTAGTGAATTTGTGATAGTGCTGTATGAGAATTTATTGCTATGATATTTGAGATTGATTGCTGGTTCAGTGTCTCTATTTAATACAGACATTCATTCAACAATAATACAGGAAATGAAACCGAGTCAGAAATAGACTCAATACAAATATTGAGAAGAATTATCAACTTTGAAGAATGCTACTGGAGGGGTCTGATGACAATGTGACACACTGTCACCGAGTGTTGCTGATCAGGTTGAGAGATCTAGTGAGATAAAAGGTTTCATTGATAGCTTTGCTATTTAACTGTTGACAGCAGATTATTTCACACAGTTTATGAGAATGAAATGGTACAGCTTTATCCCATGGTGGTGATGGAAACAAACAGAGATACCATACAGCTGTCACCAAATGTTGAGACACATACTTGGCACAAAATGTTGATGCTATCAGTGTTCAAATGATGATGACAAGATGGACAGTGGTAGAACCAAGGAAACAAAAACTGGCAATACACAATTTACAAGGGCTACTGATTCTAAAAATAAAAAAAAACAACTAAAAATCACTGCAAACCTCTAAAATGCCGCGAAAATTTTACAAACTTGATATATGCTTAATGGTAAAAAGAATCGTACACAAAATTATAAAAAAATATACATCTTTAGAAATGTCATACATTTTTCTATTTTTAAATTCTTGTTTTGTTGAAATTGCATGTCGTTTAGTGGCTCAAACAATTATTTTTATAACATTGAGGAGATTTTACTGTTAAGAATTATCTCCTTTGCCTCAAGCCCAGTAGTTGTTTCAGAGTTAGAGGTTAGTAGCAGTAGCAAATGGGTTGACCAAAACAGACTATCTTGGTCAAGTTAATAAGAAATAATTGTGGAATATTTTCTAAACAAATTTACAGGCATTTGCCTTCAGACATTACCTCATATTCTTCAACTTCAATAAGTATTTTTCCACACTGAATTCTTGTAGTATAAGGTATTTGACATAACTGAAATAAATACAAAACCAAATTTGACATCAGCACCTAATGTACACAACTTAAGACTATTTATGCAATTTTTACAAAAACTGTTTCTACCAATAAAAACCTGAATTCATTTTCTTCTCTTTCTGTCTCTTACTGTTACCTCAACTGGATCAAACTCTTACTGTTACCTCAACTGGATCAAAATCTTCATCTGGAACATCTGCTGTATCTGCCGCTTGTAACTTGGGTAGCCAGAGCGACACACTTTTCTTAATCAGCTCTTTAGCTTCCTAACAACAAAGGAAAAGAGATTGCAAAGACGGTTAATATTTCATACCTTTGTAAGTTTAGTGGCTTCACAAATCATGCTTTAGTTTTACTTATGGTTTATGTTTGTTTTAAAATGCTTGCAGTACTTGAAATAAAATAGTGTTCGGAGGAGATAGCTCGTTCTGAGAACAAAAACTGATCATTTCAAACATGACTACCTCTTGGTTATCTTTGGAGAGCAGGTAGTTAGCTTTAATTTGAAGTGCCTCAGCATTGTCGGGATCTGATGCCAGGGCTTTTTCAACAAACTCTTGACACTTTTCCTCTGCACCTTCATCAAAACTTTAAAAAACAATTGCATTGAAAAAACAAACCAAAAAGAAACAAACCAACACATATTATAAGGAAAGGATGATTGTGATTGATTGACCGATTGATTGACTGATTGATTGACTGATTGATTGACCGATTGATTGACTGATTGATTAATTGACTGATCGATTGATAGACTGATACAAAGCTTTTATTTACAAAATACAAATAAATGTTTTGACCCCGACTGTTTCATTTAAAAAAAACTATATTAGTTGTTCAGGCCAATGTGAAAATCATTTGATTAGTTCCACTACAATTCGAATAAAATGTCATTTTTGTAGTGGGCTTACATCTTTAAATAGTGTTATTTTTCTTCATATAAATAAACAGAGTTGCAAGCTTGTAGTGTAAGTACACTTGGCTTAGAGCAGTGGTCAGCATGTGGCTCTTTGAAGGAATAAATCTGGCTTTTCTTTTTAATAATAGAGTATTGTCAACAACATATATGTTATATGCTCACCAACAATCTGTTAGGTAAATTTCAGCTATAGCACAATAAGCACTAGAAATATCCCTGTCTGACACTGAGCTGTTGTTGTTGCATGCTGCTGCCACCTGTAGGAAATACACAAGGATGGACTAAGCTGAGGATGTTCAGTTCCAACGATCAGACTGTTTCCCTTTTTTTTTAAAATCTACTTTTTGTTCATTCAAGCACTTAATCTCTGACATGTATTTTGACAAATTAATGATAGCATTCATTTTCATCGGCCCAGCTCTTTGACCTGGAATTTTTACTTAAATGAGGATTGTAAATTGCAAAACATCAAATAGAAGCTCATTAATTAATCATAGATATGTCAGTCAAAATTGCATCTCAAAAGGATTGTGCTTCAACTACCTCTTGTGCTTCTTTCTCTTGCTTTTCTTTGATCATGAGTTCAATGCCCTTCTGATAGCATTCCACAGCTGTTGATCCTTCCATTAGCTGACCTAAAGTCATATATTTCGAAAAGCCAGAATCTGGGGACAATTCAATGGCTCGACCAAGACACTGGCAATATAAAGTAGAAACAAGTTATTTTAAAAAAACAACATATTAGTCCTATCTGTAAAAAAAAAAACACAACCTAGTCATAACGTGAATTTTTAAAACTATATAATTTGTAACACCATTTAAGTTTTTATCAAATGTTTACAGATAAAAAATATATTGTAATCCATTTCATGAAATGGCATAATTTATGTTAGAACGACACAAATCATTACTTAGGCCTTAAATAAAAATTATCCCAAAAAGTTGAAGATATTAAATAGTAACAAGAACTATGTTTTTTTTTAAATATTATTTTAGCAATATTTTTTTCTCTATTTTTTTAAAATTTAAAGTCATTTTCTGTTAATCCTTTAAAACTATAAACAAAGACGAAAGAGCCAAAGAGAGCACTAGATGGTATTTCCAGAGAGGTCATGTGGGCCCTGCGATCCCTGTGGCTGCAGGGGGCCTCATATATTTCAGGGGTTCAAAGTTAAGATGTGGACAAAATTTAATGGAAAGTATTTTAAATTGCTTTAAGTAGTTAACTAGCAAAAACTGAAAAGTCACAGGGGGCCCACCAAAAGTCATGCGATGGCTCTGGGTATTTCCAAAACGGGGCTCAACAAAATATGGCAAATATTTACTTGTTTTGCTGAATCTACATTCCCAAGTTCCACCAAGAGAGATGCTGATGTTTCCAATGCTCTGACATTGTCTGGATCTGTTTCCAATGCTCGCTGGCAAAACTTCTGTGCGAGCTCATAATTAAACTCATCAATTAGTTGCTCAGCCTAAGGAAGGATGGACAATTCTATAATATTTTTCAAATATAAACCATAAGAATTTTAGTAAGAAAACTTGTTATAATTTTTCACACAAGAAAAGTTTTGAAATAAAGGAAATTTTTAAGATGAAATATAAAGAAAGCGATTTGAATAAGCTCATTTTAAGTGTAGTAAAAGTTTTTAAAACAACATATAACTAAATTGCAGCTTAGTTTAAAATGAGAAAAATTTTCATGAAAAAGGAAAGATAAAAAAATGTGTTTAATGAGATAAATGTAATAAAAACTAATATCAAAATTATTTTAATTAATATGGGCATTATGTGTGAGCTAAAAACTGAAATATTTTTATGTTTTTGATTGAGTAGCAGTTAGTGTAGTTGACTAATATGGGCATGCCTGACTTTGATCTGCATACTTTATCTAGCAACTTGTCTAAAGGTTGTTGATTAGATTTTTCTGGTGGAATATCTTCAACAGCAGTAGTAAGTTTCGTAATCTTCTTCACATCTTTGGATTTTTTGTCTGAAAAGTAATGAATTCAGAATTAGAAGGGATGAACACATTACTTCTTTCAACTCCTTCAAGATAATTAAAATAGGCCCTTTCATTTCAAGGCTTCATATTAATGTTAAGACTATTTTTGTAATTAACATTCAATCTAAAAAAAGTATAGCAAACCTGCAAAGCAAAAATTATTTGAGCTATAGACTATAGCCAATAGTCCATACTGCCCTATGCTAGGATACTATTTTTGATAAGTTATTAATTGGTACTATTAACAGTATTATATTACTATTATCAAGGTATAAGAATCACTGTGTCTAGGCTGAACTTTGTTGTGGGGTTGAGCTAAAGTCATAGTCTTAGTTAAAAGGGAAATAGCAATAAACATTTGTGAGGTACATCTGGTGTGTGAGTGAGACCACAAGAAGTTAGTTAGTTCTCTTAGTGATCCCATACATCTTGTTCTATTTATTTGTCCAGTGTTGATTAGGGAGAGATTAGACTGAAAGTCCTGAACCCTAGTTGTGTTAAGGATTTCATAGTGTCAGGCATCATTGTGCCATGATAGAGTTAGATATGATTTTAATGATGTAAACATATGAGAAGTACGGTCAATACATGGTGTGCTAGACCAATGGGCAATGGGACATATTCAAGAATATTACAATTATAAGTGTGCGTTGGCGTTACTGTTTCTTTGAGGAGTCCTGTTGGAGACCCTAGGCCTAGGCAACAAGAGCCAGAACCACTCAACAACAGATCAAAGGGGGTTAAAACGTATCACACATCAGTTGTAAAGGCCAAACAGTAATATGATATTTATTAGCTATTAGAGTAACTTAAGTAAACTGTAAGACTAGGCTATACATATACTTAGGCCCTAACCTACTGACTGTACGCCAAAGAAGGCTTTTCAGATAGTGATAGGCCTACATATTGCATGCTCCATTTTGTATCGATATTTTGTTATCTTAGTTAAAGTTAGTTTGCAGGTTTTTGAAAGTTTTCCCCTACCCTGCACCCTGTGTACTGTGTGTAGTTTAATCAGAGAGTTTCTTATAATTTCCAACAGTGCCAACAGTAACAGCAGTTCAGTTAAGTCAGTGAAGACTTATTTTTAATTATTAATACCGGTACTTTAAACAGGAATACTAATAATTACTAATTTAATTTCTAATACAGTACAGGCAACTGTAACTCAATGGTAACTTTATACAATACACAAATCAGGTTGTTTTTTTTTAAATGAAATTAATGATGATAATAATAATAGTATAGGCCCTAGCCTTTCTCAGTTTCTGTAATAATAAGTTTTAGATAGAACTTTATTTGGTACTTAGACGTCTTAGACGCTGATTAAAATTTAATTAAATCATTTGCCCTGAGCGATTAAATACTTAAAACTTAAATTAAATTGTCATCTTGAATGATTCAAATTCATGATATTCAATGACAATTGATACTCTAATTCTAATTCTAATGATATTAATAAATATATATATTTATAATTATATATTGTTATATATATATATAATATATATATAATATATATATATATATTAATTACTTTAAGACATTGTTTTCATAATTATACTTACTCTGCTTGCTTTTAGCTTTCTTTCTCCCCATGAAATGAAAATAGTAATGCAGACTAAATGTACCGATTTAAAATGCAAACAAGTATCAAAATTTAGTTGTTTGAATAAATCTGTAATAGTTCATGTTTTACATCCAGCCTGGTGTGACTAATTGCCGTCAAATACCGTTGCTCTTTTTCGTTGCTTAATTTACTCATGTTGTGCACAATTTCTATTCATTAATCTCCTACTGGGTTATTCTTTTAAGATTTTTACATTTCTCTCTCTCTCTCTCTCTCGCTCTCGCTCTCGCTCTCGCTCTCGCTCTCACTCTCACTCTCTCTCTCTCTCTCTCTCTCTCTCTCTCTCTCTCTCTCTCTCTCTCTCTCCTATAGTCTGTCCTTTTTTTTGTTTGTCGGCTGTTTGATCGTTTTTTTCTGAGGGTCTGTCCTTTATGTAGTCTATGTCATGCTTTTTTTATACTATTTTTACCCTCTCATTTACTCATGTTGTGCACAATTTCTATTCATTACTCTCCTACTGGGTTATTCTTTTAAGATTTTTACATTTCTCTCTCTCTCTCTCTCTCGCTCTCGCTCTCGCTCTCGCTCTCGCTCTCACTCTCTCTCTCTCTCTCTCTCTCTCTCTCTCTCTCTCTCTCTCTCTCTCTCTCTCTCTCTCCTATAGGCTGTCCTATTATTAGTTAGTCGGCTGTTGGATCGTTTTAATCTGAGGGACTGTCCATTAAGTAGGCTATGTCATGCTATTTTTATACAATTTTTACCCACTCACCATGTCTCAATCTGTTACAAATCTTGGACCCCAGCCCCTCAAAGTACGTCACACTTTCAAACTAAAATATTGCTTACAAATTAATATCAAAATACTAATTAAAATTTAATCTAAAAACCATCTCCTTCTATTAAACTATTAAATTTATTTAAGTTACATCTTCAGTTAGAATACATCCATCACAACATGTGCAGATGTATTAAAATATTTAAATGCCTCAAACTAAGTGGCATAGCTAAGGTTATTCTTGCCAGGGGCGGGAAAAGATTTTTGCCACCCCTTTTTACTATGTCTCTCTTCTTCTTCTTATGCCCTTTTACCCCGTCTGGCCCATAGGACGTCCACAAGAATTTTACATTCATCACGGTCCTGTGATTTCCTTTCCAGTTGCTTCAAGAAGTATCCCATATTTTGCGTGTCTGCCTCTAGATCACGTCTCCGTTTATTCTTGGGCCTTCCCCTCTTTCTTTTCCCCTGTGGATTCGATGCTAGAGATTGTCTGGTGGCTTTTGTAGAGTATTCTCTATCCACCTCCATATTTTCTTTATGATGTCTTCATCAGTGGGCACCTGGTAAATCCTTTCCAGTAGATCTTTGGTGGTGATGGTATTTGGCCATTTGATTTCAGGATCTTTATAAAGCATGCGTTTATGAAGGTATGTACTTTCTGCGTATGCTTGCTGTTGTTTTCCAAGTTTCTGCTCCATATAGAAGGACTGTTTTGACATTTGTGATAAAGATTCGGACTTTGGTTTACAGTTTCAGCTCCTTCGACTCCCATATTTTCTTTAATAGCACAAATGCTTTTCCAATGCTAGCCCTCGTATCCGCGTCGGATCCGCCATTTATGTCAATGGTGCTGTCTATGTAGTTGGCAAAAAAATTCACCCCTTAAAATGAAGAAAAAAGTGCCAACCTACCCCCCCCCCCCCCGCCTCCCACACCCCATCCTATTACACTGAACAAATTATCAAATTTAGATCAGAAAAGAAGGGGAAAACAAGGCATGTGAATTTTTAGTAGAAAATAAAAGGCCACAAAAATGATAAACTTAGAATAAAGATTTTATGAATTATCAAACTAATTTGTTTCGTACTTAAGTTAAGGTGACCAAATTTTTCTAGGGGTAATTTTTCTGGGACCCGGGGGCTTAGGGGATTCCCCCCCCCCCCACGAAACCAAAAACGGTTGATGGAAATTGACTGAAAGACACGCTTTCCTGAAGGCCAAAGAAACACTTCATTAGTGTAAATTATACAGTATACTGTATGTTAGTGTACATTATATAGTATATGGTACTGTATGTTATGGAAGTAAACTTACGCTGTGTTGATCAGGAGTCGCATGTGAAATATTTATAAACAATAAGGAAGAAAAGTACCAGAAATTTTTTGTGAGGAATTTATTAATCCTTTCTGAGTCTGAGATTGAACATCTCACTTTTTCAATGTTCATAAAAGGAAAAACAGCTTGTCAGTGAGCAGCTAAATACTAACAATTTACATGTTGTAAAAAAATAAAAAGAGATTGACACAATACACATATGTCAGAAATATGAAGCATCAACAGGTGTCAGAAATATGAAGCATCAACAAGTGAAACGGACGGGTGATACGAAAATAGGGACTTCCAGGGCAAACTGGGACGTCTGGTCACCGTACTTAAGTAAGCTGGATAACGATTTAAAATATTTACAGTTAAAGAATTTAGTTAAAATTTGATTTTATCCACAAAATTTCTGCTCAAAATAAAAAGCTGTATTTATGTGATTTTACCATTTATCCATTGATAATTTCATTTGTGATATTGCTTGATGTAATATAATATAATGGAAAAGAGGACATATGACGCTGTTTTTATTTATTTTAATAACTTTTATGTATGAATAAAACTTTTTGAATCTATTATTAAAATTGAAGCCATCATTCAATCTGCGTTAAGTCACACACACAAAAAAAAAAAAAAAGAATGAAAATAGATGGGTAAAAACAAAACACAAAGACTATTTTGGAAGTGTCTCCGATAAATGTATCATCTTGGTATTAAGCGAGACCCTTGTTATTTTTATTTACTTCGCACGTGGAAATGTTGCAACTAAATATGAATAATGTGATTTGAACCACTGATGAAAAAAAAGAAAGAATAAAATGAAACGAAAATTAAGTGAAACTGTAAGTTTATTCGATGCGTATTAATGTATACTATGTCTTATTTATTTATTTGAAATTCGAATGAACTATAGTACATTGAGCATGGGCCGATATACCGAGGGGGGTCGGGGAAGGCGTGCACTGCGTGAGACATAAAACGAATTTTTGTTTCAGTTGGGCTTTCCGCCTACTTAAAATCTGTGATGCTAAAAAAATTATTGTACCACGATTGATTTTTACTGCTAATTAATACGTTCTTATAAATAAGCCATACTCATGCTATTTTTGAAATACTTAAGTTTTTATTATTATGTCCTGATTATGTAGGAATGTAGGGATAATTAAATTAGTATTCATAATAATTTATAAAAAGTTATGTTAATCATTATGATGTGTGACAGTATAGTCAGTATAGTAGTAGGACTATAGTAGTTACTTTTTACTTAGTCTTAGTACTTAAGTAATTAGTTCAGAGTTACTAATAATACTACTAGTATAACTCTATCAATCTATGAACTTAGACTTTGTGTGATACTGATAGTGATAACCAGTAGCCTAATTATAAGAAAATTATACAGTGTAATGTATAGACAGACCTAATCAATTATTTTAATTAATTAAATTGAAATTAATCAGATTACATGATAAATTATAAATAATAGTAATACCCCAAATTAAGTGTTTAGGCACATAGGCCCTAAAATACCCATGATTTAGGCTTAGCCTAATCAATCACTTCTCAATATAAAAGTACAAGTAGGCGCCAAAGCCTTAGCCTTAAGAGGTCTTAGGACTAATGACAAGTAAAAGTAAGCCTTGGACCTTAGGGGCCATCTATAAATGACATCTCATCACCATCATATTTTTTTGGCCAAATTTTAAAAACCCCCCCCCCCCCCCCCATTCATGGAACCCCCAGAGCATGACATCATTTTTGATGGTCCCTTAAGGCTAGGCCTTTAATTTATATTAGTATTAGCCTATACTATGCCTATACTATATTATAATATTAATTTATTTACTAAGTAACGCTAGCAAAGTCTATCGTTAGGACCTACTATTAAAATCTTAATAGAGTGTATAAGAGGCCCAACAAAACTGTTCAGAGCCTAAGAGTAATATCCAATAATCCCTTTTTAGGGCCTTCTACAGTATTACTATTGTCATGTGGGGTTGAAATGGGCTGTTAATAGTTTTAGGCTTGAAATTGAATAAAAAATTGCCTTTTTCATTTTAATTAGCCTAGCCATAAGGCTAATGCCTAATAAAATTATATTTTAATGGGCCTAAATACTTAAGGTATCAATTACATTGAGACCAATGGCAATGGTCCAATGCCTATATGGCTATTAATTTCATTTAAGTGAAGAATTTGTATAGCCAAAGGAAATAGTTATCTACACTTAAGTCAAGAGATCAAACAATATAATGATAATTTACTAGAGCCGAAGGTGGTAACCTCTACCCGATGATTCTTACTATGCACCCCTGAGAAGCTGCTCCAAGGCAACAGTTTTCGTCCCAGCTTCTTCGCAAATTATTTACGTAGTGAAAACCCACTGTAAAAACCCTCTTAAAGGGCGTCAGACGCTTCTCAGGGATGGGTGGGGGAAGATATTAGGACGTAAATTTACTATCCCAACTCCTGAGAAAGTCGTTACAGTGTTGAACCGACCAAGTGTTTTTGGGCAAGGGTAGCCCCCAGCTGAATCCGATCGAGCGGACTCGGGTGGGGGCTGTCCCGGCAAAGGCACATCTCCAACTTGCCGCTTCGCGGTCCGATACCAGGCTTGGGGGGGGGGGGGTTGCTTTTAGGGCATAAAGAGCTTTAGCTCGACGGCCTACTGACAGCCTTTCTTAATGTGACATTTCAATGATAATTTCCCGATAATTCATTTTTAATGTGAGCAAAGAATTTAAACCTAGTGAAAATGTTCTTTTTTTTTTATGCCGCTTCGCGGTCCGATACCAGGCTTGGGGGGGGGGGGTTGCTTTTAGGGCATAAAGAGCTTTAGCTCGACGGCCTACTGACAGCATTTCTTAATGTGACATTTCAATGATAATTTCCAGATAATTCATTATTGATGTGAGCAAAGAATCTAAACTTAGTGAAAATGTTCTTTTTTTTTTCATCATCATCATGTCCCTTAGTCCTTGGACCGTTGGAGCGGCCGCAAATGACATGTGAACTATCCTCCTCCATTCGTCTCTGTCTTCAGCATCGCCCAGTGTTAGTCCTGTC